GGTTATTTTTAGTACCAAATACGAAAAAAAAACTAATTCGTACGTCACGCAACGTTATATTTAGAATTAGCGCATATCTTGTAAAAGCATGCGCGTTTATAATATTGTATACAATATTATATATAATCGTCATTTGTGCATGAGATACGAGTACGTTTCAAAAGCGTTAAGAACGGTCGTCGTATTTCTGTATTCATGATAATATTATATAACCAATAAAGGATGTCTGTTAACATATAGAACTATACCGATTTTTTACTTACAGGTATTTACAAAAAGCACGTTACAAAAAAAATCAAAAGAAAGCCGATAAGTCTACCAATGTGATATCCGTCGCTAAAAAAGGCAAGAATAATGCAGCGACGGCGGCAACAACGACTAATAATAAAGTGCCTGTAACATCTAACAATGTCAGCGGTAGCGGAGTCACATTTATAATTCCCAAAATCGAACAACCTGAAGATTCGTTTACAACGGCTGTTGTAAGCAAGCCTTTATATCCCAACAACATACCCTCCATAGGTATAAATATATATATATATATATATCATTGATAAAAATCTAAATCTCTAACAGATACTTGGTGAATTAATAAAACCCGTCCTTATAGCTCAAAACCAAAAAAAAGTTGAATTTTAAAGAGCATTGAAGCTAGATTTTTACAAGCATAATTGAAAATGTCATAAAAATATTAAGAAAATATAGTATTATGAGCTTAAGTATTTTATAAGTATGTAGATTAACGCATTGAACATTTTCAATTATAAACTTATTAAATTTATATTTATGTGTAAATAATTCTTAAAAAGTAATAAATATCTAAATGTAAAGAAAAAACAATTAAACGATATGTGCTCATTAATTGTTCAGGAATACCTAGGAATCAATTATTAGTTTAATAAATGACACGTATATTTTCATAGACAGTAATTTCTTTTATTTTCTGATATAGCTATAGATAAAGCTACAGAAAAATGTATTACGTTCACGTTGTCGGACGAATTAAAACGTGTTCCGATCGAAACAAAAAAATTACTGCTCGGTGTGTTTGAGCCGAGCTTCAATCAAAAGACCAACAAAATCGTTCTTTATATCTGCAAAGACACTAAAGATAAAGGCAAGTAATCAAATGTAATGTTCTACATTTTATATTGAGTTGATATCAGAAATTCCACATTTACTTCTGTTTTCAATACTTCTACGTTGTATTAGCATTCGAATTCTCGTTGTAATATTAAACTTTAATCCTTCCCTATTGTACATCATACTTCTTATTAAACTAGAAGTAATAATTTCAATATGACTATGTAGGAGTTTCGGACGAAAGACACTCTTTGTACGAAAACGTGATACCGGCGATCCGGTTAAAATGTGCACAGATCGGTTACGAATTACACGTGGTAGACTTGTACAGTAATCAGCAAGAGATGGATTGTGGGCAGCTAGATGATATAGTTGTTAAACTGTCAGAACTGCGTCGACAGAACCGAGTTGGGTATGTCGTGCCCATCGTATTCGTGGATGACTCGTTGGGACCACCAGTTCTGCCACATGTGATGACCAGACAAGATTTTGAACTGGCCCGGACCAAAATTCCAGACGCCGGCAAATTGATCGAGAAATGGTACACGTTGGACGCACAAAAAAATCACTATGAACTTCGGAACGAAATGATGTTCGAGACGACGTTTGAGACTCAGGTATTACTTATATTTGTATGATTTAAAATTTGTATACTTCAAACTATTTCTAGTAAGTAATAACTAGGAAACGGATTTGTATGTAAATGCATATTTTTATTAAAACAAGATATTTAAGATTCGATAAGAAATGTTCATGATTTAAATCATTCCTATTAAAACGATAATATTTTTATTTTACATATTTTTATATATTTTGGTATAATTACATATTATTACATGTTTCACTAATTTGTAAATATTTTTAAACATATTTTATCATTTCATCATTCATACGCTTCTTTCGTACGAAAATACGAGAAATTATTTCAAAATTAGATCTAGAAACTTCTATTGATATTGGAAAAGCTCAAAATATTATGCAAAATGAAAAATTGAAAAATAATTTAATTTTCATCTCAGTGAATTTAAGTTGTATACAATTACATAAAATTACAAAATTGGAAACAAAAAACATGTCCTTAAATGATATTATGCAAATTGTCAAAACAGCGATTAAAAAATTAAAACTCGTAAGCCGGCGATGTTGTAAGAAAGAAAATTGATTCTATTACAGAAAAAAATCTAGGCTATATTGATTTTAAAACAATCAATGACATAATGAGTGGTAGACATCCTTTTAAAAATTTGGACTTATCGCCTTCTAATATGCACTTTAATTATGCTTCAATTACATCGGTTTATGTGGCACGATTATTTAGCCGTTTTAAAAATAAAATTAAAATAATTAATAGACGACATTTAACATTCGATAATAATGATATTGTAATAATTCAATGCAACAAATAATTTTGATAGTTTAATAATTATAATTTTATTTTTTAATTAAATTTTTTTCTCCACATATTTGGTTGTTTTTACTACATATTTTATAAATTAAACTAACATATATATGTACATATTTCTGTATTTTTATTACATATAAATCCGTTCCCTAGTAATAACTTAATTTAACATAGTATATGTGTATGTGTATTAAGTATGTGAATATGCATCTCGAAATATAAATAATTGTCTATTATTTCAACTTTGTGTCCCATTGTCCCGATGAAAGAACTACGGGACACATTTAGTCCCGTTTTTTCAATTGAGTCCCATATTAGTTCCGTTTTCCCTTATATTTTTAATGTATAACTTACTTTAATTAAAATATTTATTACTAAAATTTCTGCTTCACACTGGTATTTTTTGGAGTTGTTTTGATCATTTTAGTATGTGTATTTTATTATAATAACATTTTCATAATGTAGGTATACGCATAAAATAAATATTTTATTTATATTTAAAACCTTTGTACACCGGACATTTATTGTGTTGTTTGAGCTTAATAAAATATTTTTTTTAAAAAAAAATTACAATACATAATAGGGTGTATTATGTATATTAGGGTGGTCTTTATTTTTTTACTCAAGAATATTGTTGCGATGACCCCTTAATTTTATTCTATGTTCTGAAAAAATATTTGTGGTAAAGTTTGAGCGTGATAAGTCAACTCCTTCACGTGCCTCAAAGAAACTTAAGTTTTATGAAAAAGTATGAATTTTCAGTTTTTTGAATATATTCACTTAATTTTTAGTTATGCAAAAATTATTAGAATCTTTATTGTAGCAATTAATTTTTTCTAAAAAAAAAAGGTATCTTGGTATATTGTAGTAAAGTTGGTGGTTTTTCGTAAAATCAAGAATAACCATTCAAAGTTAACCCGTCACGAGTCGCATTATTGTATGTAACACATGTGGTCGCACACGGTCTTTTCGACCATTCGCTTACATCTCATATTTTTTTAACATTTTACATACAAATGCATTTATTAATGATTTACAAAAATTTTACTTTATTTATTTTTTATATTTTACAATAAAAATTGGTATTGCTGGAACTATTATACTTGAGATTTAAGTGAAAATAAATTAAAAATAATTTGATTGATAGAATATGTTTGAATTCAATACAGTTTTAATATTATGATAAAACTAAACGAAAATATTGCATCATTTGAAAAAATAAGTAAATTACTCACAATTATTTATTAGTAAAATAATAAACTCACGGTCTTTTAGACTGTAATGGGACTCATAGTTGGTTAAGTACGAGGAAGACTATTTAATTTTTAGTTTTTTTTACTTTTATTCTTTTTAAATTTTAAATTACACAAAAATAGTCAATCAACACAAATTATAGCATACAATATTTTATACAAAATAAGATATATATTTTTGTAACTTAACTTTCTAATCAATGAAATTTGAACCAAAATCTTATCGCGATACAACTTGTAAAGGTATATGAATTGTGTAGTACATTGTACTTGCGTCTAATTACTATCGAAGTATCGATGTTATTACGTATTGGTTCACTGTTCAGTATAATGTGTCGTCTTAAAAACGTATAATTATTTTTAGTGTTAAGTGTTTTTAATCATTTTAATAAAGTATGTCACAAAAACCAATATTTCTAGTCGGTCCGATGAAAAATCAAATAACTGGTGGAAAATTGCCCTCTAAGAGAGATTGTTTAAGCGTACTTTTCTATAACATGTGAATAGTTAATTTGAGTTTACATGAAAGTGCATCTCTTGTTATTGATGAATGTCTGATATTTTGGAGAAAAGCACGTATACCCACTCAGTATCGTCCAAACTGCATCATAAAATGTAAGAAATTATACGAAGATTTACGCGGTTTAGAAAAACATAAGACTCGAACAAGTGAATTATACAAAAACAGGGAAACTGCATTTATGAGGATTTAAATGATTTGCTTAACATCGTTGCAGCTAACGCACTAAATTTAATTAAAAATAAAGAAGACGCGACATTTTTAATTTTTTTAACGGTGGGGTTTTTTTTAGAAAATATTGATTGCTACAATAAAGATTCTTATGCATTTTGCATAACTGTAAAAGTAAAATATGTATATTCAAAAAATTCAAAATTCACCCCTTTTTATTGAACTTTAATCTTTTTGGGGCACGGGAAGGGGGTGAAGTATCACACTTAAACTATACAATAATTATTTCCTTATACTGAAGAACAAAATTTAGGGGTCATCGTAACTAAATATTAGAAAAAGAAATTGACTTTTATAGCTAAGGACCACCCTAATGTATATATATCATATTATATGTACAACATATTTCTTAAGTAGTAAGTAAATTACTTAAATTTTTAATATACAATTATTGAACTACCTGTTTTTTTAGGAAGCCGACGAAAAACTATGGCATAATGAAAAGGTGCAATTACAAATTACCCTGATGAAAGTATTTGATTCTATATCGTTGCGAAACGGTTACATTGAACAGGTTTTTCAACAGGTATTCAACAGGCAACATTATTATATTGTAAAAAGTAAGATAAATATTGTTATTAATCTTCATTTTATCATGCATAGGAAATCCACAACAAGATCATAATAAATTCTGAGTTGGCAAAAAGGTCTGTGTGGATTATGAAGAACTACGACACAGATTTGGGTCATAAATGTAAAAGCACTGCGACAGAATCTAAAAAGAGGCTTGAACAAATTAGCAAACAGCTAAAGGTATATAATCTAAACCCTAAATCTCTTTTTACTTAATTTTTTTGTATCATTTGAAAATGGAAGTTTGATAGTGGTATATTTAAATTGTTGTTGTGTGTTTGTAAATAGATCGAACTACCGGAAACTAATATCATATTTTATGAGGACGCTAACACGGATGAATTTATCAAAAAAATCGAATCTGTTTTATTATCCATTGTTGAATCAGTGATCAAAGAAAGGGTATGAGTACATTAAAGTTACTTGTTAAATAAATGGTTTGAACTACTGGTTATTTAATATATATTAATTACTATTACATTTATTGTAATAGTTTGCAATTATATAATATCTCAAGTATCTGTAACCATACCGTATTCATATTGTAATATTTAGAATACTTATTTATTTTATTTAGTTTTATTTAGCTTATTTGTATACATCTGTCCATTTTTTTTTTTATATTTATATTTATCCTTTTAAAATAGCTACAAACTAATATTGTCTTTTATCCATAGATATAGATAGCCTGCAACGGCTAGGAATGTCTTATTTTATTAATAATAAAAAAAATAATAAAAAAAAAAAAAAAAACTATTACATTTATGTTGTATGTAGGAAAAACAAGAACCTGCGTATGGCACAGACGCATTGCTGTTGGAAGAATTGAGAATACAGGCATGGTTTGGACACAATACATCCAAACAGGCTGTTCGCAGAGACGAAGCTATGGAACGTGTCAAAAAGTAAGTGTTAACGAAGTAATGTGTACGTAATTTTGGTACCTACTAGTGAAACTAATTGTACCGTCAATATATTAATATAATATATGTCCAATGAAATCCAATCTGTTATCTCTAATAGTTAAATACACTTACATGTATCACCATTGATTACAAAGTAGAAATGAGTCATTGTGTTAACCATAATTGGTTTTAATTAATTAATATATTATATAAATATTATTGATCTATGTCATACGTAGATACCTAATGAACGTGAACGCCGGGTACCCATTGGTATTATATGGACCTCCTGGCTCGGGTAAGACCACCGTGGTAGCATCTGTGGCTAAACACAGTCACCTGTGGAATCAAGACGCGGCGGTAGTGGTGAGATTTGCCAATGCATCTGCTTACAGTTCGTCTCTGGAACAGACTCTCAACTCGCTAGTTGTCCAGCTGAATCTCCTAGACAGTGGAAAATGTACTTGGTTCAAACATGTGAGCATTGTTTGCGAGAAGTTAAAGTTTTTCTGAGAGTTATTTGATGTCATTGTTTTTAGAACGTACAATCATATTCCGATCAAATAATACGACTTTTGGGGTCGATCGGAGCCAAACGGCCGATAACGCTGATCATCGACGGCATTGACCGGGTAATTATTACCAAAAATTAACGTAATATTAATAATTTTAATCGCGTTTTGATTATTTTCGTGCAGTTTAAAAATGACGACGTGAATTGGATACCACAGTCATTACCCAACAACGTTAAATTCGTAATATCAGCCACCGAACCTTCAGTTCACCTGAACCGATTGCAGCAGACCATCAAGTCAGTCGATTCGTTCATTCGGGTTTGTATATATTTTAGAGCTCCATATTACACGTATATACGTTTTCACGTGTTCACATGAAATTAAAATTTAATTTATATGACACAATGCTTAAAACTTCACGTGTTTTTATAATTTAATGATAGACTTGCATCCATGCGATATCCAGTGATGAGGGACAGGTGGGTGGCCCGCTCCGGGCAGCAAAATTTCACAGTAAATAATAAAATATATTTTGTAAATATTTGAACCGTTTCATATTTTTAATGTAACTAAAAATTCGGACCGAATGAAAAGAGCACGGAATTTTTCATTACTTATTCTGTGATGAATTCGGGAATTCCATTTCTTTGAATGATATTTTGTGCTTGGATTGTTTATGACTTATAATCAGCGAGAATGACTTCTATCACATATATATTAAGTTCAATATTGTTTATTACGTTCCTTTAAGAAAGTACATGATGCTTTGACAATTCAAAGAAAGTTATATTCATGGATCTTCAGTTGTTTAGTTCACATTGTTTCGTAACTGTGATTTTTGTGCAAATAAGTCCGTTTAATGATTATGAAATTATTGGATAACTGTGAAAATTTGAATTTTCCACTACGTTTACCTACATTAAGCTGTGTGAGTATTAAATATTTTATTTATGTATTTGTATGTTGACTGTCTGATATGTTGTTCAAGCTTTAATTTATTAAAATCCAACCAAGTACAAGTTTTATACTCGCATACCCAGGGTTTCGGACAAATATTTACGATTTTCACATTTTCTTCTATAGATAGAAATGGTGTAAAATATGCCTAGTTTTTGAAATGTTCGATAGTTTTTTTTGTAACTCTAACTTTTATCATTACAATTTTTTTTTTATTTTAGCATCAAAAATGAAAAGAATAAAAGAAATTGGGGCGGAATAATATGGTTATAAAAAGTATAAGTATCTATAAGTAGGTTCTATTACCTACTTAAAATTAGGGTTCACCTCTCATGATTAAATAATACCTTTGTACATAGGCGCAACTAAGGTAAAATATCTGAGGGGGGGCTACATCCCTCCTATCAAAACTTAAAATAATCTGTAAATCACCCCTACTCTTATATACCATGTTAATATAGGTATTTTAGTTAAATTTACTGCAATGTGTCTTTTTGTATGTGACACTATTATGAGTTAGTATGCTGTATGCAGTATGTCATGTATAACATGGAATATTTATGGCCCCCCCCCCTAGTTGCACCTATGCCTTTGTACCTGTTATATCAATGGCTGAAGTAAAAATATTTGTATCAATAAACGTTATTGTAAAACAAATAATCTTTTTTATTTAAAATTTCAAAATAATGATCGTTCTTGCCGAAAAGTTAACTAGAATTAATGTATATAATGTATAGTATACATTAAATTGAAATACCTAATTAAGAAGGCGGCAAAACTGTTTTCCGCCCCGGGCAGCCGATACCCACGCTACGCCACTGGTGATATCTATCTAAACTCAAAAATACATTTAGAGCAACAATTCTCGATTTTGGTTTAAAAATATCAGAATGTTTACATTTTTCGTCAGTATTTAATAACTGTTAATGATTGTACATAACATGTAACGTACAGTCAAAATTAAGCTATCAGTGTGTGTGCGTGTGCGTGTGTCTACTATTTACTTAATGCCTGTTCATGTGAATAAACTAATTCACGTATTTACGTGATTAAGCTTTTTTATTCACGTGTATTAATAATACATGATTTATTTTGTTTCATTCACGTGATCACGGTATACGTGAACACGTATATTTATATTCACATACAAAAACGATATATATTTGTATTTTCACGAACCGAAAGTATTTGCGTAAACGTAACATGTTTTAATTTTATGTTTTTTATGATTACGTATTTAATATTTATAGATCGCGAACATGACTGATGAACAGATTGATTCCATGCTGTCGGCTTCAATCATCCGACCAATCGGAAGTGGGGGCGGAGAAACGTTGAAAAACAATAGTAAAACGGTCACCGCCAAAACACCGCTGGAACTTCAAGTGAATACAATGTGTTCAAAAATGCGGAACTCAAAACAACCACCGTCGTCGGAGAACTGGGTGGAAACCATTTTTGACAACGTTGAGTCATTGCTAGGAAAAGACAAGGTACCTCTTATTTCTGTTTCTTCTTCTTCACTGGCATTTATAACTCTATAAGAGTTTTTGTCAACAACACTATATCCCTCCATTTCTCTCTATCTTGAATAAAATTTCCTTTCATTCTTGTACTCCCACGGCTTTAATATCCTCTTCTACTACGCCAAGCCATCTCTTCCTTGGTCTGCCTCGAGGTCTCTTCCCTTCTGGTTTTCATTCTATCACTGTCCTGATGGTTTCTTCTTTACTTATTCTCATGATATGTAAAAACCACTGTAATATTTATCCTTTTATATAGCTAATGAATGGTGCTAAGCCCAGTTCTTCCTATAGTTTCTTATTGAATTTTCTTCTCCACTCATTTGTTCTTGCGTTACGCTGGTCCACATATCATTCTCTATATTTTGATAGTTCTAAAGAGGCTTTTTCTGCATTTGCTATCCTCACTCTTATCCCCAGTGACCAATCGTTTTTTGTACTAAGTAGCACTCCTAAATATTGGAATTCTTTCACTTTTTCGAAAGCTATTGAATCAAATAAGTCTTGTGATGAGTCACTATCGAGAATCTCCAAAATTTTTGTTTTTCCACATTAATCTGTAACCTTACTTTTTTCGTCATTTTCGAGAGCCATAGTTAGATTTAAAGCATCCTCCAGTGATTCACCAAGGATGTTCAAAACCTAAAATCAACACTCGATGTTCATTGACCACTCTCTCACTTTCTAAACTTTGCATCATTCTCACAGCCTTTTCAAGTGCTAAGTTAAACAGTAGCGGGGATAATGTACCACCTTGTTTAAAACCGGTTTCTACTGTGAAGGCGTCAGATAGTATGCTGTCTACCCTTACTTGGTATTTTGTCCCTTCCATACACATTTTGGTGAGTGATATAAGCTTATTAGGTATTCCAAATTCTTCCATAATATTCTACAGTCTCTCTATGAATACTGCATATGCTTTTCTAAAATCCGCAAATATCTACCATAAGTTCTGACGATATTCTTATTTTTTCTTAATGATTTGTCCAATTATTGAAAGCTGTTCCACAGTCGACTTTCCTTTGCGGAATCCGCATTGATACTCTCCTAGACACTTATCTGCGTATGGTGTTAATCGACTCAGTAACATCTTAGAAAAAACTTTGTATGCCGTATCTAACAGAAATATACCTCTATAATTAGAACAATTTGTTTTGTCACCCTTCTTATGTAGAGGTATGATTATGGCCTCCTTCCAACTTCTAGGCATCTGTTCTTCTTGCCACGCCTTCTGACAAACTTTAAATATGAAATATCGTATTTCTTTTCACCATATTTTATCAACTCTGCTTGTATGTTGTTTGATCCAGGAGCCTTCCAATCTTTGAGGTTGTCTATTGCTTTATCAATTTCTTTCTAAGTTATATCGTTTATCATAGGTTCAGCTTTTTGATATACTGTCTTCGCTACGGGGTTTGCTTGTATATCGCTATTGAGTAACTCTATAAAATATTCTTTCCATCTTCCAGCTTTTTTTCAGGTTCCCTAATAATACACCCCTCTGTATTTTTAATCGCTTTTAAGCTTGGATTGAAGTGTTGATGTTTCTTGATGATCATGAAGAAATTTGTTGCCATGGGAACGATTTCTTTCTGCTTCCTCTAATATTCCATTTAGAAACTTCCTTTTTTTCCTTTGAATTATATGTCTGCATTCTCTACGTTCTTTTTCATATTTTTCTTTTGTGTTTTGATCTTGCAACATTAGAAACTTATTTTCGATAATTTCCGTTTTTCGATAAGCTTTATTGAACCATTCATTCTTTTTTTTCTTTATTAAACCAATTTTTTATTCTGCAATCTCCATAAGAATTTTATTGACTTTGTTCCAGTCCGAGTCTATATCTTGTAATTTGAGGTAGAGGTATTTGATGTTTTTGTCCATTTTTTCCATACATTTTCGTTGGACTTCTGGGTCTTTAATTGCCTCTATTTTGAGATTTGTGTTCCTTTTTTCGCTCTGTCTTTTAAGACCCAATAAATTAATTCTTAGAGTTGCTAATATCAGGAAATGGTCAGTATCACAGTTAGCGCCCCTAAAGCTTCTTACATCAGTGATACAAGATCTGAAGCGCTTTTGTATTATTACATGGTCAATCTGATTAGCTGTGTTACCATCTGGTAACTTCCAAGTTACCTCATGTATATCTTTGTGCGGGAAGGTTGTACTACTTATAATCATGTCCTTGGATGCTGCAAATTATATGACCCTCAGCCCATTGTCATTGCTAGTGTCATAAACGCTTTCACTTCCTATGGTTGGTGGGAAGTATTTTTCCTTTCCACATTTGGCATTTATTTCTGTTTAATCATAATAAAATGTCTATATGCAATATTTGCATTATATATAGGTATCCACTGCGATCAGCCATATTTGTTCTACCCGATATGGTTTACTCGATTCAGAGGTCGTCGAACTATTATCAATGGAGAAAGAATTTCTCACCTCAGATCAAACTACTGCCAGTACGTATAAGTAGTATATTGTGTAAATTTATCTCTTTGATAATATTTTAAATTATATTATAAATAATATTAATATGATGATATAATATCTATGATAAATAATATTTACATTTAAAAGGGTGTATAGTTTAGAAACACTATGAAAGAAACTATATAAGAAACACATTTGTTACTATTCAATTTTTTTTTTTTTACTGCATATAATATTTGTATTGAGCAAATTATTACGACATTAAATTTGCATTGAATTTTTCTATAAATTTGTTGATATTTACATATCTTATATTATGTGTTAATATGATATTCCGCAAACGGCAAGCGTGTTTTATAGTTCCTTTATTGATTGGGATACATACATATCTATAAATTAAAATACGATACGTTTGTGTTTTATAATAATTATTCATTAGTAATATCGTTCGCTTGATCATATTTAGCGTCGCTGTCGTCAGCCGGTTTCTTTTGGTCGGCCTTTAACGAGCTGCTCTCGTCGTTTTTGTACTGGTTCAAAACAGATCGATACGCAACTATTCGGTGGAAGAATACCGTGATCGCGGAAGCTGCCGCCCGGCGTTACGGTGCAACCGATCGGCGTGTCAAAAGCAAAATCCTATCTTACTTCAACAGTCAGGTGCGCATATAAAACAATATTTCGACATCCACACCATTGTTCGATTAATAGGAGACGATAGAGGTTTACAAATGTGTTGTTTTTCAATTCACGGGGACCGCTGTAGGTGACTGTGCTGAACGATTGCTACAAGAAGAGCTTGTCAAAACGCAGAAAACTGGACGAGTGCACTCACCTGACAGACCTGTCCGAGACGATCAAAGATTTCTGTAATCTGGACTGGGTGCTGGATAAACTGAACAACGGGTCGGTGCTCCAGGTATGTGCCAGTACAGTCCATACGTACTGTTTTGGTAGAATTTATATACGTACGCTCATGGACTGTGTTTGTTATATAGTTACTGGACGAACTTTCGGCGTATGATATCCAAGACCCGGAAGCGTGTTTCCTCAAAGAATTTCTGTCGTCCGTCACGCCGGCCTTGATGCACAACGGCAACCAGTTATACTCGCAAATGGCGTTGTACCCGCCGGCAGCGGACCGGTACCGAGCGCTGATGAATGCGCCTCCGTTCCCAACCCTGATGCCACTGGTGCCTCCACCAGAAGTCACCGAGAAGACAGCGACATCGACGGAGAATGCATGGAGTTTTGATGTAGTAAAACGATTCAACGACGACTCGAATTTCGTGATCACCGTGAGTACCGAACGGAAGGAGATCAGCGTATGGGACGTACACAAGTGAGTGCTGTAGGAGGGTGCACCAGAACATGCTTTTCATATGACAATATCTAACCTCATTTTCGTCATTTCGTATGTACAGCTGTACAAGAGTTCGCACACTTAAAGGAATCCTCCATCCCACTGCGTTAAAATTGATCGACAACCAACGTTGCATAGTGTTGTGCGAGCGGAAACTGACCGTCATCAATTTGGCGACCGGGAAAGTGATCAGCAAACTCAAAGGTTCGTCGTGTTATTCTTTTAACGTAAATATAACATTTAAGTCCAAGCAAAACAATTTTTTTTTTTTTTTGTTTCTCAGGAGTAATGAATCAAAACATGCCTTATTTCGGCTTACACAGTCCCACGAAACTCGTGGCTCTAGCAAGAAGCCGGATGCACGTGAATCTGATCGACATCGAAACCGGCACAATCGAGGCGTATTTCAAAGCCGGTGAAGATAGGTTTTTAAATTCATTGCTGGTGTCTGGGAATGGAAGGTACGTAGAGTAAAAATGCGTACGCGTATCGATTAATCGATATGTAAAATTAATCATCCGAGCAGCTAAAATTTTTTAAAAATCACTAAAATAAGAAAAATGCATTTTCTTAATCCCAAAAATTATTAAATTAATACTACGGTTAATTCTATGTTTATTTATATTGAATTGATACAATTTTTGTTGATTTATACTCGCAAAAACATGTATTTTTCGTGATGTTTCGTAAAAGAAGTGTACACACTAAACGTGTTTCGCGTTTCGTGTTACACGTTTCGTAGTTTTTCGTAGTGTTTCACTGTATTTAGTTCATTTGTACTACCTATAGTATTTATAATCAATGCTTTTAAATTACCAATATTTTTTTTTAATTTCTTCTTTTAGTTTTGTAAATTGTAAACCTAAAGGTAAAATCCGCACCTTTTGGATCCCACAAACATCAGTACTTTTTTATTCCTTCGACTAATGTTAAAAATTGTTCATCGTTCCACTCAGACGCCATGATGACAACTAATGGACAAACTAAATTTTTAAATGTGATTAAACATGATATCGATAATAATTATAATAATTATTGTTTGATAGCGACGGGGTGTACCTACATGTATTATTACGTTCATCCAAAAATATGATAACCGGTTTACGAAGATATATACACGAGGCCAAACATCACAAAAAATAACGAAATGACACGAAATCATTTTTTCGTGTTCTTTGATTTCGTCAATTTACCACCTCGGCCGCGAAAAAAATATTCGTGAACAAGTCATTCACACTATTCACGAAATTCACCTAACGTGAAAGCATACGTAACACGCATACGAGTAGTAAGAAACGATCTTTATTGATAGCATTCGAAATTTCAAAACTTTTTTGACCAAGACAATCACTAGTACACGGGTCATATTTTATCTACATGTAATCTGTATACTCCACGATGTGCTTAGAAAGTTTTTATTGAAGGGGGTGGAAAGGAGAATTTGTGATGATACAGTCCGATAAAAAAATCATATATTTTTTTTTAATTTATTTATTGTATAAATGTATAAATTTGTGGTTTAATTATATTATTATTAATAATTGTCTAAGTTATTTTAAACAGTGGTGAATTATTTAATTTCACTTGCTTATCTGCCAGGGCTTTAAGATTTTTCTGCCAGGTGCAACAAAATGTTGCCACCCCTCTTCTCTAAAATGCAAAACTGAAAACAAGTGTCTCAACCATTCATTAAAATCCGCTCGCTACGCTTGCAATTCACTTTCCCAATTTCAGTACACTAAATATTTACACAGTTGCACAATATTTGTAATTAATATATACAATTCAAAAACTTCGTTTTAATTACCTAAATAAAGTTATAGAAAAGTCTCTTGATTGATTATCCTTCGGTCTGAATATTCCATCTTCACATAAATCAAGATTAAACCAATATATAACCTATATCTCAACAAAATACTATGTGAAATAAAATATTCTTAAATAGATATACATTTTATACGTTATTAAATAATATAAATAATTTTTTGCACCCAGTTTGGTTTTTGACCATGGTTAAAGCATTGAAAAGCAACATTTTTCCGTCCAGCTGATGGCAAAATGGAAATTCTCATAGTGCCGGTCGGAAAAGTGAAAATCCCTAAAAGTGCCGGGTAGGTTGTTCCAACACAACCAGAAACTAAAATATATATCCCGGTCTTTACAAAACATAAAATTTTGGTTAAATCTTATATTCATATTATAACTTCTTTGCATAATGCATAAATATTTAAACATATTTCATTTTCACTGTTCCTACATAAGCGCGTTGAATGTTACGGATAATAACATTTCGTCCATAATATTGTTTTCGTAGAATAATCTGTTGTTGCATAAATCCCTACATTACCTTTTCCACGAATGCAGGGGTGTAACAAAATATAGTATGTGTGATTCGCGCGAGAAGGCACAATATACTATTACCTCCCTGAACCAGAGTTTATTCTAAGGATTTTTACCTATTGCTCAAACACACTAATAAGTTTGTTATATGAAATTTATTTGGATTATAATTCTTACCCCCACTCCAAATAAATTGTATATTGATATTTTAGAATTTTGACCATCACGTGGTAAAATATAAAAAAAATACGGATCTTTTCCGTTATACGTATACCAATTTAAATTTAAATTTTATAGACTAATCAATTATCGAAGTATCAAATATTGTAAATTTACATAATTATTACTTATCAGGTACTAGGTTGGGTTTATAAATTACACAAATTTCAAATACTCAGTAGAAATACAATCATTCCTTAAGGAAAATTATATTTTTATAAGGTGCCCATATTCATAAAGTCAACTGCCCTTATGATTTTTCCTACTATCCAATTTGGGTCGTACTGACCGTTAGAATAAGACCTGCCCTGAACCATCCCTTAAATACGACCCTAATACCGGCTTTGTATTAAGAATTTTCAAGTTCACTTAAATATAAACAATTTTATACATAATATACGTCGTTATATAGAGTCATGGTGTGTGGTGACGAAACACAAAAACCTTTTCCGCTCCTCGTTTGGAATTTGACGTCCAGACAACTAATGTACGATCTGCGCATACCGTTCCACGAGTTTGTTACTCGACTTGCGGCTATCACTTATGAGGGCCACTACGTGTGTTGCGTCGCTCAAGTGAGTCAAGATTAAAATTAATTCTTGTATATTTTTAATTTATTATTCAGAAAATTACTATAAAAACGTCGGTTTATGCAAATTTTAAATGCGAAAAAATTGCCTTTTCCCTGGTAAAACAGTCATTACAAAAAAATAAAAAGGAATATTTAAAAGCTAATCTGACTTTTGCATTTTTGCAAGATAAATTTTGAATAACACAAGTCTTAATATTACAGGAAGTCGACGAGCCCGGGCCTAATTTCATAGTGGTGTACGATCTACAGTCCGGCACGCTGTTCAAAAAGTGGAAGCCCGGTGTGGACTGCGTAGCACTGGATATATCATCCAAGGACGGTTGCGTGTTGAGCGGTCACGAGAACGGGCATATTTGTATTTGGGACCTAACCACTGGAAATTGCCGGTGGACGTTGAGTGGTCACGTGGCACCGGTTACTAGCCTCCGGCTTGATCCGGCCGGAGGTACATTCGTGTCACTAGACACTCATACCCGAGACCGAACGATCAAACTTTGGAACGTAGCCACTGGTAAGTTTCAACGTCGTGTTATTTTCTTCCGACTGCCTTGTACATTGGTAGTCGTGAAAAATAATATTTTTCAACGTAAATCACACTTTAGAACTACTCGTATGAATCATTTCGAAGTTTTCACTAAACTTTAAGGACATAAAATGCATTGTTTATTGTAACGTTTAGATTAATACATGGGCGTACGCAAACATTTCAAGGGGTTCCTATATTAATATTAGTTCATATAATAGTATCAACTAAACGTGTAGGTACATTTGATCAATTATATAAACAATTGTATAGATAATTCAATAAACATAACTTTAATATTTTATTTAATGTTGTGGTAAGTTAATCCCAATGAATATGTTTTTCTTGAATGTCATTTATTATTCTCAGATATTTTCGATTATTTATGAATTTGTACTTTTGTAGTAAATCGTAACTAAATTTAGAACATTTTATTTTTTCTACTAGGAAACATCATTTATTTTTACCAAATATTTTAGAATAAATTGCATTTAACGTAAGCAACATCAGTTAAAATACGTACCCCTTCCTTTTAGACTTAAATTGTAGAGCTCCATTTACAACATTTTATGAGGTGCCTGGGCACATCCAATGCCCCTCTTGTGCACCCATATTGATTTATATTAACCTTCAAGCAGTGATGTATTGCTAAAATAAATCATGGGTATACGCCTTATTTCATGATAGTAATTATCATATGGTAGGAATCAAAAAAACTCACTCATGAACTACAAATCCTTAATTATGACTATTTGATAATAGAAACTTGTTATTAAATGATAAAAAATTTGAATTTTTCATAAAAAAAAAAAATTTAACCACAAGTTAGATTAGTCAAGGTATTATAGTTATTTGTTAAATTACAAGCTATAGGTACCAGTGGCGTACATTCAAATTTGATCTGGGGGGGGGGGGGGGGTTTAAAAAAAAATAACCAACACTAAAACCTTCTGTTTAAAACTACCCGTTTTCCTAACAATCAAACACATTACATTTATAAATATTAATAGGCAAAACAGCAAAACAAATACAAAGGTATACATAACTCATGGCAGTTAAATATTATTTAATATGCACATAGTAAATACAGAGAATAATATATATTATATTATTAATTATTTATAATAAAAATTCTAATCTCCTTTTTTTATTGGATAGTTCAACCAGCACTTCATCAGGAGTAATTGAATCATTTTTGTTGATCGAGAGCATAGGTAGACCATTAAGTCTTCCCTATCAAAATTAATTACAACATTAAATTAAGTTGATTATAATCATTAATACTATTATTTAAATTGAACATACCTCAGAAGTAGAGTTGCGTAGGTAAGTTTTTATTCTCTTGAAAGTTGAGAATGTCCTTTCATTAGTGGCAGAAGAAACTGGTAAAGTTGTTAATATTTCAACTAACTTAAAAATATTTGGGTGCATGACTTCATTACATATGTAAATAGCGTCCATTGCATTTTTTGGTTTATCCGTTTCTGATAGACATTTAAGTTTTCGTTGCAAAAGTTTGAACTCATTTTTGAATACCTCATCACAATTTCCAATATCTTCTAGATCTTCGCTATACTTTTTGTAAGAGATATAAAATCTTCTTCATAACCACTTTCTTTAAATAAGGAATGGAAGCTTGTCAATGTACTTTGGTGGTTTGTAAATCTTTCTTCTAATTCATTAATAAATTTGTCTATGTACCGAATAAATACTGATACTCGATAAAATATTTCTGGATCGTTTGTTTGAATGTTACACCTATTGGTTTGTCTTTTTGATATTCTTGGTATGTTTATCGCAATGTCAATTTTCTCAGCTAGTGATTTTACACGTTCAAAAATGTCTCCAAATTCTTTTTCAGCATTCAATCTTATCTCTGTAAGTTCTTGTTTTGTCTTTTGTGCCAATGACATAGCTTCTTTGAGATCTATGCTTGTTTGCTGGAGAACTTTTGATAAGACTAAACCTAATGCAAATACTTTATTCAAAACAAATAAGCAAATAATAAATTCGAAATTTAACATAGAGATTCTAAGTCGTCTTGCTTTTTCAGATGTATCATTGTCATTCCATTCAGAAATATTTTCCAAAGCTTCTTCAACATACTCAAAGAGTTCTAAAAAGTCATGAACGGCATGGTATCTATCAATCCAACGAGTCTCGCAACTTCTTTTAAACGTTTTTTTTGATGGTGTTTCAAACGAGTTTTCTATTTTTCGAATTAGAACCGACTTCCGCTTTGGATAAATAAAAAAAATCTCTGATTTGACTTATTATTATTGTCCCAAGGCAATCGCGTATGGCTGGTACACTACAGAATTTAGAAACAGCTAAATTTAACGAGTGGGCTGAACAATGAACATATAGAGCATTAGGGTGAATTTCTTTAATATGAGCCTGGACACCATTAAATTTTTCGGCCATTGCAGCTGCCCCGTCATATCCTTGTCCACATAAATATTGCGTATTGATACCAAATTGTTTAAGATTTTCTAGGATTAAATTTGCTATTCCTTTACCAGTTATATCATTAGTTGGTACAAATTGTAAAAATTCTTCAATAAGTTTTAATGTGTTTGAATTGATATTCCTAACACATGGTGATACATGTTCCACTCCTGAAATATCTGCAGTTTTATCAGCAAGAATTAAAAAACATTTTGCTGTATTTACTCTAGAAACAAATTTGTCCAATAAAATTTTGTTACAAGCATCAATCATATTATTTTGACTTCTATTACTAGTATATTTCATCTTTCCCGAGCTTTCCAAATAGGTTTTCATTTTAATATCTCCTTGAGCTCGGTATCTTAAAATTTCTATGAAATTACCTTCATTTATAACTTTTGAGTCATTGCTTTCAATTTTTCCTGAATAACGGTGTCCTCTTAATGCCAAGTTTTGACTACCGCACAAAATAACTGCTTCAATTATTGGAATAATATTTTTTCGATTTTGCAATATTTGTTTGTTTTTTTCGTTGTCAATTATTTTATCGATTGCCCATATTGGATTTTTAAGCATGTTTAAGAAATTATCGGCATCTAGTAAACTCTTTTTGTGATATTCTAAATTCGAATGATTTTTAAAATTTTCCATTGCATGTTTCCAATCATCATATTTTTTTAATACAAATGCTCCCAATTTTCGGTTATTAACACCGGCTTCATTTTTAGTAAAAGCAACACAATATTTGCAATACATACCATTGTTTACTTCTGAATAAGCCAACCAGGGAAAGTTAATAAGCCATTTATATTGAAATTTCAACTTCAAAACTTTTTGTTGTTTACCGACTACTGATATTTTGATAGGAAAATTGTAATTAATATCAGGGATCCAAATTTTGCTCAAAATTTCTTCTATTTCACTTTGCTTTAACAATTTATTTGTGTAATGTGCAATGTTAAAAATATTATAAATGGAAGATGTACGATTAATATCTGTAGTCGAAGGTGTGAACTGAGAAAATAGGTGCATCAGATGTAGATACAGTTGATGATAATGAGGAACTAGAGGAGCTTATAACTGTTTGAGTTGCATTCAATGAATTTGACAATGAATTCATTATTGAAGGTGGTTTTGAAAAAAAAAGATTGTATTTTCGATTGTTTTTTTTTTCAGCCATGATTACTATTTATTTTAAGTATATATATAAATATATATTAAGTGGTGTATTTAGGCGGCGGACCTATATAATATCTGTTTGAAAGACAACTAAAATATATAATACTTATTTATTATTTTTAGGTATTTATTATTATTTATTACTTATTACTTATTAGATAGGTAACTTCTGTACTTAAAAATACAATATATACAATATACAGTATGCATATTAACTTAACTGAATTAAAAAAAAAAAAAAAACATTAACTCGATCAGTCTTGTGTATTTATAATTCAATTTAATATTTTAAACGTTTAATGTTTTGTTAATAAACAAATTTAATGTAATAAATTCAAAATAATCTTAACTAAATACTTACCTATGGTTTATGGAGTTCAATGAATAGTTTGACATAAATTTCTCCAACGGCAGAATAGAACAAAATGTACGAACATTTCATAATTAAATATTTTAGCATGGTCATTTACGATAGTGCTATAAAAATAGAATCCATATCACCGTATTATTGTCGCTCACGAGAAATTCAACGATTATAACGTAATCGGTTTTTCCTCCGTTGTCTGATCGAGTCGGTTAAGATAATGATAATATTAATATGTACCTACGCAATTAACTGACTGTGTACGATCAAGTGTCTTTTGATTTTGATTGATATACGGCAACCATAATTTCATTATGAAATCTTTTTTCGTTGTTGGTAAAATATAGTGTTTACTCAATAGTCAATACTCAATAGTCATATTATTTGTTTGTCTGTGTATAATAAGAAATTCATCAATAGTATAATTTTTTTTGGTCCCGTATGTACGCCACTGATAGGTTATATATACGGCCGTATATCCTCGTATTATCAATTTCTCATACACTCTACGCTTGGGTAAGAATAGCGTATTGGGTATACGCCGTATACCCCCGTATACCCTCCAATACACCACTGCCTTCAAGTATATGTTATAATTATTATATTATAATATTATTTAATAATAATAGGTTATTATTATTTAACGTATAGGTAAGTACTAAGTACACACCTTACTAGTATGAAAAATTAGATCGTCTGATAGAGGACGATGAATGATCTTGCTAAAACATTTATTTGTTGTCAACACTATTGATGTGCTATGTTTACTGTGTTTGCAGGCCAACTTATTTCAGATTTCACCCCGGCCAACTCGATAACGGCCTTTGAAATACTACCGGGCGGTGAGTTCGTGGTCGTTGCGTCTTCTGGCACGCCGCATCCGACTGTCCTTCAACTCCGAGGTCCACAGCGGTCCATCACCACAGTAGAACAAAAGACGTACGGGGACGAGGCGACGCTCGAAGTGGATTTGTCATCGGACTTCAGGGATGATGCCTTGGCATATGCCAGTGCCGGCGCTAGATGACAGCCGCCGTCGAAAGATTCAACCACCGCACTAGGAGGAAAAGAAGGAGGAATGGAAATAGCTAGAGCAGAAGACGTGTTATTTGACGATGCTGGTCTTGAAAAATTTCACAATTTTTCGTACTTTCCCAACGACGACGATCATAGATATTTCGCGTTATTGTTGTTGATAATACGATAATGTTGTTTTTGTTGTTGTTGTTATTGTTGTTCTCCCACCATACATGCTTTACTATACTACATCACACACTATTGTACCCCTTGACTGCTGTTTGTTATTGTTATTGTTCAATACTGTTGTCGTTTCAAGTCTGTCGCTAACTCAAAGTATAGATGTGACGAACGAGTAAAATAGTTTTTAAAAGACTCCTATTACTACCACTACTACTAATTACTTTTAATTGTCATGTCATCCGGGTTGTTTATGATTTATGGCCCACATACCCAATAAACAATTTACTTCTATTTTTTTATGTCCTAAGACTGATCCTAATTATAAGAATGCACAAAAAATTAGAAGAATTTTCATTCAGATTAGTCATATAGGTATCTCTATAATGTTGCTCTGTTCGCTTTCTATTAATTCAACCAGTAATCTCAATTACTGTCATCTTCAGCAAACATAAATTTAAACATTTTTAATGCCTTGTAATTGTATCATTTAATTGTTAAAAAAAAATATTAAACAAAATAACAGATTTCTTTTTTATATATAATTTATATATATATATATATAAAAATAATAATAATAATAATAATTAACAAAAAACAAATTTTGAATACAAAACTAATAAACCTCAAAGGAAAAATTAAATGCCACCCAACTGTATATAATAATAAATTATAATCAACAAAATAAAATCACCATAATAAAGAAGAGAAAAATGGTAGACAAACAAAATAATAACATCATTTTAGGTAACAATTTTCTAATATAATTAAATAATAAATAAGCGAATAATTTAAAAACTCTTTAGTGTATTAACCTTACAACTATACCAGCCTATTAAACAAATACCCAAAAACTATACAAACTCACTTTTTTTAATAAGTAATTCACTTTTTTTTAATAAGTTATTAATATTATACATGAAATAAATAAATAAATAAAAACATCGCAAAAATCTGTTTTAATTTATTTTCTTCATCTCTGAACAATGTTGATTATTAGTAACATTTGTCACTATTTGGTCACCTGATTCTTGGTTAACTATTTTAATATCTTCAGTCTCAAAATTCACTAAAAAAAAAAAAACAAAAAATTATAGATTACATTAAGTTAAAATATATCATAACTAGAAAGAAATTCTAGAACATATTTTTTCAAATTTAATTATTATTTGACAATACATTTTATTTTAAGTATACAGCACAAAAAGATAAGCTATTTAAAAAATTATTTGACTTTATATTTTTATAAAATTTGAAGCGACTTGTCATAATAATAAATATTTATTAAAATAATCCAAAAATCATGATTATTAACAGAATAAGAAAAAAAAATTTGTGTACTTAAAATTTTAATATAAAAATACATTATATATGAATCAATAAGACAAGTATTATAATTGTTCATTTATTTAATTTATTTTAAAATTCAAACAAAATATAATTGTCACTTGGATTCTACTTGTTTTACTCATTCATTATACAAGAAATTATGTTTTAAAAATAAATTATTATAAATTTGAAAATTATAATATATATTGCATTTTATAATAAAGCATGAAATGTATTATATTCAATTTTCAGTGCTTAAAACAAAAAATAAAAAATAAACTATAAATAAGATTTTAGTATTTAAGTATTAAGTACATATTATATCAAACATTTCAACTTTTAATGTCAAAAACTTAAAATAATATAATTACATTTTTATTTTATTGTTGATACTTCAAAATTATAATTACGAATTTTATGAAACAGATTCAAAAAGTAAATTATAGATGTAAACTCAATGTGTTGATAATTACTTTTATAAATATTAGGTTGTGCATAATTATAAAAAATGTACTATGTAAAATAACATATAACTATACTATGTATAAAATAAAATTGCACAAAAACATTATAACGAATAGTTTTGATAATTTACAATAAAATGTAAACATAAAACTTCATATGATTTTGATACTAGTACATTGTTAAAAATTTTATGTTTGTCTTTGAAAATAGTAAATTATACTACATAATCTTAATTTTTAATTTTTTTTTTTTTTAATGGATTACATTTTTAAAATTGTCTATGGATTGTATGTAAATTACAGTTATAATAGTAATTTAAAATTCTGGGCAATTAATTAAGAATCAAATCCCTTGAAACATTTGATGGTAATATATAAATCATAAGAAATACTCAAAATGTTGAGTTAAATTATTTAGTACACCTCAATCTCATAGACATAGTATATATAATGTCTTAAGTAACAACAGGATATGCTGATTATACATTGTTTGTCAAATGAAAAGATTCCAATGGTATGCGCAGATATATTTTGATATAATTTTCATTGCACTATAATTATAACATTCAATTTTATTTAATATTGGTATCCTCATTCATCTAACAACATTAAACATTTAATTTAATTATTTATCTCCATTCATAATCATTATCAACATTTGGATTTGAAGGGCCACCAATGTCTTTTTTTTTTTTTTTTGATAATAATAGAAAAGTAATTTTAATTTAAAATATTTCATTTAATTTTAAAGATAATAGTCGAATTTTTTTTTTGTTGCTTTTTTCGTCTTTTTATCTACAAATACCTTTTTTTTGATTTTTTAATTTATATGTTATTAACTATTAATTGATCAGATAGTTTTTCTATACATATCAATGGAATAAATTGATAAGAGCTTATAAAAAAAACACATTGTCAATATTTTATGTTTAAAATTAATTTTAATGGAATTTATTATCAACAATATAGATAAAGTATTTGCTACAGCAAGTTTATTCAAGGGAAAACATCAAGAAAATCAACTAAGTATTAATTGGACAAACAACAAACAATGACAAGTGGTAATTTTAATTTAGATAATTATTTATGTATAAAATAAGCCCCAATAACTTTGGTGGACGTAGAAAGATTATTCTCTATATACAAAAATATTTTGAGTCCGAATCATCAATATTTTACTGGAGACAGTTTATCTTAAACATGGTAATGATTTTTTTTTTTTTTATACAAACTAGTAAAATCAACTGAAACCTATTTAAATTTTTAGTAAATTTTGTAACTACTTTTTATCTTAGTTAAATGCTTTTTTTATTGATTATGTTGCTTTGAAATCGGAACCTTTATAATCATTATTAATTATTAAAATAAAAATAATAACTGTACATAATTTAACTTTTGTGCATTAAATACTTATATTTTAATTATTATGTAATTTTAATAATAAAAACTTAATACACATCAATTTATGGATAAATTTTCTTTTTTATAAATATAATTAAAATAGTAGTTTTTAAAAGTATAGTAAAAAAGTTTTTTGGTTTAGTTGAATGTGAACATTTTCAAAATATGTAATTGGTATGCACACATTAAATGGTTGGGAACCATTGATATAATTAACTAAATCAAAAGTAAAATTAGAAGGCCACTGTAAATGAAAAATGTATATATTTAAAATAATTAATGAAGTCACCAAAACTAAGTAAGTGTATAGTGTTTAATTAATAAGATTTTCTAAAATGTAAACATTAAAAAATATAAAGTAACAGAAAATTAATGAACACAATACTTTTAAAAATATGAATTTATGTAATCAATAAAAAAAAAATGATAAATTTGTACAAGTATTTATTCTTAAAATAGCTTAGTATAAAAATATAAGCAAAATAAGTTTGTACATTTTTAATTAATATTTAGTGAATCAAGTATATATTATACTCAGCAGTAAATTAAACTGTGAATAATAATCATCAAATCTTGAATTCTTAACTCTTAAATAAAATTGTATTGTGTTATTTATACTATAAATACTAGGGATGGGCAAAATTGTTTGATCATTATTCAATTTATCGATACATCGGTTTTTAAAATATCGATGTGTTCGATGTATCGATGAAAAACCATCAATGTTTAAGAACATCTAAGTTTAAAAACATTGAAAAAAATTGTTTTCCCTCTAGAACTGCCATCTGTTGCACACCTTATTATCTGTACAGAGTACTATTTTCTTAATTAAATAATAAATTTAAGAGTTAAAATACTATTGTTTAACTTATATTTTTTTAAAAACATATTAAATACTCATAATCAGGTCTCGTAAGTTCATGCATTTGCATGTTTTCTTTGTTACATCGGAAAATATGCTAATTGAGATAAAAATCTGTTTCATAACAATGGTGATAAAAATCTAAGATTTAATTGAGCATATTTTTGCATGTTTTGTGTGTATTGGCATATTTGGTATATAGTTGATTTTTTTTGAGTTATTAGTGCTTATTATTTTATGTAAATTCAGCGAAATCATTTTTTGTGGAAGTTAAAAAAAAATTAGATCGATAAATGTTTAAATTCATTCCTATTTACTTTTCCAAACTTGTTTATAAAATCTTAGTATTTTATCAATATTTTTATTTTTTAATGACATTAAATTTTATAAGTTAAAAGCAGTACCACGAAAACAATGTTATTGCGCATCACTACCAGTCTTCTCCTGTTGAAGGTTAAAATGCAATCTATCTATTTTTGTCGCAACGTGTGTTAATTAATTATAATTTTAATAAAATGTAATCGAAGAAAAAATATAACTTAAAAATATAAATGGATAATTCTTATTATTTTAAAAAATCCTTAAATGTTTTTTTTCGTGCATAGTTAACAATTTTTAATGCATAGTTGATCAAATGTTAATGCATTATAGCATGTTTATTTATGGGTTTTTAAGTGCATGAACTTACGAGCCCTGATTATAACTATAAAGTGTATACTGTATAACGATTTTCATATACTGTATACTAAGATAATATAAACAAAAAAAAATTTGAGCTTTTCGAATATAAACATCAATATTTAAGTTCAAACATTTCAAACAAAAACATTGATGTTTAATCGATTAATCGAAAACAAATCATCGATGTTGAAACATTGATATATTGACCCGAACATCGATGTTTTTTGCTCATACCTAATAGATACTAATATTTTTATTAATAGTACTATTTACTACAATTTTTAAATAAAATCTACCATAATAACAATTTTTTAGAAAACTGTATTAATTCCAATTAATAAGGAAAGTTAGGTAAGACAAATTACTTCATGTCTTACAATTTTTTTTAATTTTAAAAAATTAGAATAAAATCATACATTTAAATTTAAGGATATGTTCTTTTTAAGAAGAGTAAAAAATCTATACCTTTAATTGGTAAGTTAATATTTATAATCTTTCAATTATTAAAAAATTATTATTTAGATAATTACTTTTATTGGGTTCTTCTTGTACTGGTTGGTCAATTTCAGTTATTTGGTCTACATTAATATTTGTTTGATTAAAAAAATCATTGGTATTTTCAACCCTAGTAAAAAAAAAATGTTTATAAATTATTGATTAAAATATTATAATTTATAACTTACGGCACTTGGAGTTCACTTATTTCAACAGCAGGACCACCACTATATATCCTCCATAAGTATTCCCATTGAGCTTCAGAGACAGATATATAATCTGTTTCTAAAAAAAGAAGAATAATGTAGACAATATTATCATAACCATTAAATTTAATATGACATACCTAGAACCTTGCTCTCAGATTTATCGATCAATTTGGAGTTGTCTATTGGTCCAGGTGGTTCACTTGTAACACCATTCAAGAAAGACTCCCAGCATTTAAACCAATTAGTTGATATTGCAAAATCAACAGTCATATCCTATTATTAAATAATAAAAAGAATATTTTCACAAATAGGCAAAATTATTTGGACTTAAATTAAGTATGCATGAAACACTTGTTAACTTTAAATATAACGACAATCATTTTCTTTTTAAATGATTAATCAAAAATATTTATTTTTATTTTTGTAGAAAAAAATGATAAAATTAAATAATTTATAACTTATAATAATTACATGTGGACTTGACTCCTCCTGGAGTCGTGCAAAGTTCTTAGTTTCTGTTTCAGCTCTATTCCGGAGCATCATCTCAATATATTCGGCATAACAGACTTCACATCTTTGTAGCTGAGAATTAGTACATTTAGGTCCCCCACCAAACCTAGGTAACATTGATATATGGCATTCAGTGTAACGGTTTTATTTTTAAATAAGTTTCACTTACTTGCTATGTAAATAATCCCAAATTTGACCAGACACCATGGTAGCATAATGGTTAATTTGAGGCTCATGAGTTGGTTTCACTCTATTGTGGTGACACATGAAATCATAATTATCTATAGGACCTGGTTCAGCAAATGTATTAAACTTGGACAACCATCTAGTCGAAATGAAACATGCTTCTTGAGAACAATTTGGCTGACTCTTGTTCACTTGAACTTGTCGCATTTGTGTTCTGATTCTATTAGTAATTGGACTATTTTTTCTGAAAATAATTAAGTTGATAATATTATTATTACAGTAGAACCCCTCTCGTCCACCCACGGCTAATCCACCACTCCGGTTGGTCCAACCATAGTATTATCGATATGAATATGGATTTTCCAATTTATAATATGTGGTTAAATATATTTATAAAATTAATTGCCCGTTTAGTATTTATCTATTTTTTATTTATTTTATTATTTTATTATTTATTTAATTTTATATAAGTATGTAGTTAAAAATAATATTTAAAATAATTTAATAAATAAATTTGGTAACATTTTGTCTTTAAATATTTCTTTATATTCTGATAATCCGACCTTTTTCATGTTCCAACTACACCCCCAGTCCTAAAGGTTATTATATAAGATATATATATATAAGATTAGAGGGGTTCTACTGTAATCAGTAATAATTACTATTAATACACAAATAATTTTTCATTGATTTAATAATAAATAAATAAATAAATAATAATAAATAAAATAATAATGAAAAAAAAAAATAAAAAAAAAAATAATAAATAAAATAATAATCATAAATAAATAAGCACTTACTTGTAGAAAAGAACATAAGCTTCAGAATTACGAACAATTTCAGCTGAAACTAAAGTAACACACTGATCATCAAACTCATACCATTGTTCATTGATTGGGTTTAATGAATAGCATGTATAATGGCCACCACTACCAATCGTACCATGATGGCAAATAACAGACACTAATTTGTAGGTTGTGACTTGAGATCTACAATCTATTTAGACAACAAAAATTGTACATTTAGATTATAATATGATGCACAATGAAACTTCAAACATACCTTTATGGACATATGGCCGTAAGTCTAAACCATCAACAGGAAATGTAACATATGAAGTAATTTTAGATGAGAACATTAATTCATGTCTGAATCGTTTTAGATGAATACATAAAACTTCAGGCAATTCAAGTAGTTTAGAAAATTTGATACCATTACGTAGCTTTTTACATTTTTCACAGCTAAAACGTACAATAATTTATAATAATATAAAATACAATAACTTTTTTTTTATTTAAAAAAATTTTAATTGATCTTACCTATACATGTTATCACCTTTAAGTTCATCAGCACTGAAAAACGCAGCTAGACAATCATGCAAACCAACTGTAGGACCCCAGAACCATCTATACATCATATCCCAAAACCAAAAGATCCAATTCTAAAAAAGAATAATAATAAATAATAACAAGAATGCAAAATTAATAATCAAAGAAAAATTACCTGAATGGCTTGTTGATTCGTGTATATATCAGACAACTTATGAACTGAACACAAATTAGTAGATGAACTTTGATGTAAAACCGTGATATGGTCACGAGTTGGTATGGGCAGAGATAAATCTTGAAATGCTTCAACCCTTGAAGATACCTTTAATAAATTATTACAATTTGTAATACAATATTGAGAATAAGTTTCTTAGAACTAGTAATAAATTATAAAGTGTAACCTTTAATAAAAAAAATTACAATAGCAAAAATTATATGTAAACATTTTTAGTGTCCCATACTACTATATTTTTCTTAATTATACTATATGCATACAAATTGTATAATTTTCTAAAAATCTAATAAAATATACTCATTTACCATTAGACATTAATATTTATTTAATAATTTAAGCTAAATATCTTAATTTGAAATGGGCCCATATTATTGAATAAACAAAAAATGTGGTTATAAATTAAAAATAAACTCATTTTTAAAACAGTTTTTAGATTTTGAAACTGTTGATGAATAATAACTAAAATTTTAGTTTGTTTATATAAAAAATATAATATTTTAAACTAAAATATAGTTAAAAATATTAAATTAAATATTTAATAAAAAGTTTGATTAAGTAAAACTGAAAATGATCCATTCCTATTATTAATAATATTATATCACATATATAATATAAATAGTGCTGAGCATTATTTTTTATTTTTGTGCTTGCATTTATGATAATTTTTCAATCTGTTCGTAATTTCATAAAATTAGATAAGAATAAATTATTTACTAACCCGATTACAAGTCAAACATTGCACTGAACTCAAAAGTTTTCCATCAAATATTTCAGAAATAATGCTGTTGTATTTGACATGAAGTTTTCTATTTTTTTGACATAATGTCATCTTATTTCCATGGTTCATTTTAGCAAAAAGATGACGTTCTAGGTTTTTAGTCAAGTTTATTCTTTCAGATGTTTCTTCAGACAAAGAACTACGTTCACTTACACCAGAATCACAGGTTTCATATTCATCCACCCCTTCGGAACTACTATCAGCATTTGTTAAAGACTTTAATTCATCATTGTCTGAACAATCTTCTTTATCTTCCTCTGGGATAGCCAAATTATTTTGTTCTACACTTAGTTTTCTTGAAATACCTGAATAAAATGTATTATATTATTATAAAATAGGTTTTAAGTTATAAACCAAAATTACCTTTATATGAATGACGTCTGGAGGGAACTGCTTCAAGTTCAGGTTCTTTAAGTTCTTCATGTAGCTGATCCATAAAGCATCTTAAAAATTCTTGAGTATCATGTTGATGAAATCCTCTGAACATTGAGTATGCCTAAATTATAAAATATTATTATTGAAAATTATTTAAAAAGAAATAATATTATATTTAAATTACATTTCGCATTGTATATAAAATTGATGTGGGAGTGACATAACCAGGACGTTTGGTATGCCACATTTCTTGAATGAGACGATGATAAGCTCTGGATAAATTTAAAGGATTATCTGATTGGTGACATGGATATTCAGGAAAACAAGTTAAAAAATAATCTGTTAATGGTGGTGTATTTGATAAAGCTTGAAGTGCAGCATTCATGTAACATGTGTTACCAATGTTTTGAAGACCAGTTAATCCTAAAATATTAAATATGATGTCAGGTAAAATAAATTAAAAAATATATTATACATAGTTAAATTAATTTTTAATCTTAATATAATCTGCATTAATTACCTGTAGGTTTATGATCTTTAGTTAACCTATATTCATCATCACTGTCTTCATCTGCAGATTCTCCACTGTAATTTAGTAATGCAGAGTTACGACAAAATTCTATAGAACAATTAGAACCACGGCGAACTCCATTCAATGTTCTCGTATTATTTTCAATGGTACATTCTTTAACACATAAGTAACAGCACAATCGCATAGATGGTAGACTAAGATGTAAACAATGAGTTTTATTTTCCTACAATGAAAGAGACAAATTAAACAAAAATTATCTAAAATATAATAAATAAAATATAATACTTTAAAATGAAGATAACTGTGATCACATCCTCCATCATAACAGAATGCTTGTAAACAGTCTGGACTTATGCAAAACCAAACTTCAGGTTTTTTAGATTTACACACACAACAAGTCAATACACCAATGTGCTTTAAAAAAAAAAATACAAAAATTAAAATTAATTATGTATGAATTAATGTATTTATAAAAAATATATTTAGTCAAAATTAACATACATGTTCTAAAAATTCAGCACATTTTTCAATAGCTGATAAATGGTGTACAGTAAAATGTGAACAATCTTCCATTCCTATAACTTATAGCACACTTCAATGTTAGAAATTGTGTTGACTTTATAATCTGAAAACAATCATAACTGAATATTAATATGTACACAATTGGAGTAAATAAAGAAATAAATTAAATTCGCATGGTACATAAACGTACCCTGCGAGTCTATAGTAGTTTTATCAATTTAAAAAAAAATTCTTCAAAGCCAACAAGGGCGATTTAAAGACCAGATGAAGAAAAAATAAGAAAAATAAAATTACAAACCGGAAAATTGTGTCCAATAAGTCGACCGTGACACAGAGCTAGATGATCGAATTATTTCTATAAAGTAACATTTGCTTGAAAATTTTTCGAAAACGAAAAAATTACTATCGAACAATTTCCTAGGGTAAGCACAAGGAGAAAAACGAATAGAAAAAACGAAACGATAAGAAATGATTAGATAGTGAAAAATTTGATTTTTACGATAAACACAACACAGGACCGATAAAGCAAACATACATGATAAGTCGCTCTACGAGCAATTTTTCTCAAACAGTAATTATTGCGAAAAAAACGAGCTTGCAAAATCTCATATAAATTTAATGATATACCTGTGTTGTTATGTGAATATGTTTTTTCACTAGTTCACCTTGACAGTGCTGACACATAAGCAGCGAGATATAATGTATCCTGTGGGAGATGAGCAGAATTATTTGCTCGATCCGACAGTCACGCAGTTGAGACTACGATTTATGCGTATATTCTGTGTTCTCCATCCCGTAAAAAGTTTTACCATTCGAATTAGAAAATCGATAAGAACTATCTATTTGAATCTATCAATTAATGTGTTATATAATGTCGATCCTGTCATTTAAAAGAATCCCATGCCTGTGATCCATAGACATATTAAGATCTTAATATGTCTATGCTGTGATCCGAATGAAAAACAGTCATGGAAGAACTGACAGTGCTATATTGCCCGGGTCCGTCCCTGGTATTAAAAATAATAATGCGTAAGGTTGTAAGGATATGAACCATATTATTTATACCATATACCATATCATATGATATAATAAACTCAGAGTAGGTACACGAACTGTATTTGCATCATAATTATGTAAGCACAATTTAACATTTCAACTAGATTTTTTAAATATTCGTAAACCGTAATGCTACTCGTAAATAGCACTTGAAATTTAATATGTAAGAATCGATCATGTAATTGTAAATTATGTGACATATTGTTGATCAGTACAGCATAAGCCATTCGTACATAGGCGAACAGAAAACATGAATATTTATTAAAATGTGTTCTTAAATAGTTATACATGCAAATATGACTGCTGGTCTATACTGAAATATAGTAGGGATCTTGTATATTATTTTTCAATGAAAAATGTATAGCATTTTATTAAATATCTAATTTAATAATAATGAGAAAAACTATTTCTATACTGAAAAACCATGTGATAATAACAAAATAATGGCCATTCTCTATGTCAATCTGGAATAAATAAATATCAATTTATACAGATATTCTTTATTAATAATACATAAGGACATATCGATTACAATTAATTATTAGGTATCATTTTACCTGAACATATCTAAATATATTAACATATAGTATATTTTTAAAGTTTATTAGAAAATAATTACTACAATATAATTCATCTGGTATTCAAATCAAGTATATAGTTTTATTGTGAATAATTTATAAATGTATAATACATGAATTCGATACAGTGGTCTCATGTCTATAAATTGCCATATTTGTCATATCCAAAAAAAAATGTATATAAACATATAGGTAAATATATAATATATATAATATAAATATATCTATATCCACAAAAAAAAAAACAGAGTACTATACAATATCTTTGTAATAATACTACCATTGATAATACTAAAATGTACTAGGTAGGTATACCTACATACTTTTATATTACGCTATATTAGGATAAGAATTTTTAGTTCGAACTAGTAACTGAATGACCTAACACCCAAACAGATAACTTCAATTGATATAATTACAGCTATTATTTCACTAGGTAACTAGGAAAGTAGACAATTAAATTATCATATACCAAATGTATGGTGAAATGTTGATGTTAAAAATGTTAATGTGAAATGTATGGTACTCAAGCAGGTACATTCTATAGTTCTTCATTGTACCACTATGGTAGATAAATATAAGATAATATTTCATTAATTATACATATTATGTAAAAATTGTTCATATATACCTAATTAAAACTTTCAATTTCCTACTAAATAGCTTGGATGCATTGTATAATATTTATTGTTTGGCTTTATTTTAATTGCTTTGAAGGTAAATATTATCAATAGACTACCATATTTTACTACAAAATATAATGAATATATATAATTACATATTTATGTTCTTTTATTCAATTTTTCAGATTTTGGTGTCATCTATACAGATGGTTCTAATTCTCCTTTTTTGACTGGGTACTCTTTTTATATTTCCTAATTACATGTATCATTTGCAAGCAACTTGCCTCCTTCGTCTTCTTCTTTCACGGCTGAGTACTTTACCATTATTGAAGCTCTCACTCTTATTTCTTCTTTTACCCCAATAAGTTTTTAGTTGTTTCGGATTCATTATCGAGTCTTTTATCTTTTTCGTATTGTGACTATAGTGTTAATACAACATTTAATTAAAATATACCAATATTGTTTTTAAATTTTAATACTATAGACTAAACTGTTATATTTTTACTATATTCCAACTCTTACAAAAGTACAATAGTATTCCATTATAATACGAAAGTATGTATATAACTCACGATTGAAAGAATTTAGAAAAAAAAAAAAAATTTAAAAATGCATATTAAAGCATATATTGATGTTTGTTGATTATTTTTGCATATTTTTAAGATTTTTAAGAGAATATAATGAGAATATTTCAAAGTTTTTTAGAGAATATCAGCATCATATTTAAGGTATTTTAAGAGAATATAAATCCGGTATTAATGATTATATATTAATAATTTTATAATACTGAACCATTTTTACATATAGAGAAATATATACAGAAACCCGAAATAAGGAATCGAATAAGGAACCATACATAAAAGTCTTCGGTTAGGATGGTATAAGGGCTAAATAGTCAACGCTCGATCGAATAATATCGATACAAGAAAGATGAAACTTATTTACTTCACACATATGAATAAATAAATAATAAAAAAAAAAATTTAAATATTAAATATAATTTTAATATTTAAAATTATAATAATTATTATTATTATTACTATTGATTATTATTTATTATTATTAATCAACCGATTATTAAAAAATAATACTTCCTTTGTTTTTACTAGATTAATAAATTATTTAATTTAATTTTATATACATTTTTCTTGGTCATTTTACATAGAGTATATGAACACATTTTTTAGAACATACAAATGACCATCGGCCGATAGTAAAGTAATCGGAAATATGTATGAGAATTCAAATTTCGGAGTATTTTGATTTATTTATTTTTTAGCCTTGTACCTGACAAAAGGACGTTTGGCCCCTGGAATTTTAATTCACTAAATTTAATTCGTTTTTTTTATTTTAACTAAAAATTTAAATTATTTTAAAATGCACAGTTGCACAACAAATTTAAATCCAAAATAATCGTATACTTCATAAACTGTAGTACACGCTACATTCGGCGAACGGTTACAGGCATGCACCAATAAAAAAAAAACAATTATAATGATAATAATAATAATTTAATTACAATTATATGAAGTAAAGATAAATTTTAAATAATATATGATTAATCATATATGTATATTAATTATTCCTGTCACATTTGTACAAATATTATAATTAAAATAAATCTATATATCTCCCGGGGGCCAAATGTCCTATCTTAACATAGACATAATGTATTATATATTATGTCTATGTATCTTAATAATTGACGGAGATGAAACGTCCGTGGACTCGTTATCGGTTAAACGTCCGAGATTCCTTGTACCTCTATCGATAAAATATATGCCATTTTACTATAAAAATTATTTTTTCTACGATGACAATGTTCTATGGTTTTTAATTATTATTGGTGGTCGAGTTCAAAGCAACATATAATTACGGCATGGAGTTTTATCTAGAATCGACCTGCCAATTACACCGACAAATATGCACCAATTTTACATCTTCAAATTAATTTTAAATAACAACTTTTATTAATAAAAAATATATATATAATATATAATTATAAATTTTAAAATATATAATGGAAATTAAGTAAGTTAAAAGTATATTTAATGTTAATTAAATTTATTTATGGCACACAATTTATTTAATTATTTTCAACCCCTCCCCCATATTTAAATCCCAGATCCGCGTACAACTGCCGGTTCGTCAACGTCAACCATGATACCCGTGTAGACGGAACGATATCCCCGAAACGCAATACACGAACAAAACAGCTGAGCGGTCATCACATGTATCACAGCAAGTTTGTAATGTAAACATAACGCGGAAATACAGAATACAGCGGTATAAAATTGTATATATTTTTATTATTAATGTTTTTTACCTGACTATTATGCTTCGTTAGGTTTGTTGCGATCTGCGTTGTTCGTAGCCAACTGTAGCATTAATGCGTCATTCTTCGTCTACGATCCAGTGTACGTGTGCAATCTCAGATATCCCGTAACAATAGTCCGTGTACGATCATTTCAAATCGTGCTTTTGTACAACACTAAAACACCAGTCGAATTTTTGTTCAGAGTTTTTGTAGCATTTGCGTCGAAATGGAAAACGAAGGCAAATTGAAAGGTGGACATGCGCAAGCAGGTTAAAATGAATATTAAATATTATTATTATTATTATCGTTTTTAACACGTGTTGTTGAGCAGTACTGATTTTCTATAGTTTCTCGATTCTATTCTTTATCGGGATAACCGTCGCACTTACGATTATTAATATCAAAATCTGAACAATAGTCTCATTCGGCTGATAACTATAAGTTAGTTGATTTTAATTTTGACATATTTTTCAGTCAAAGCTGGTGGAATGCGCATTGTGCAACATAAGAACACATTTGTTGACAAAGATAAAAATGGGGCTTCTGCAGCTGCTGCTGACGAAGCTAATTCAGTTTTAAAAGTCTCGACAAGGTAATTGGATATAATTAATTTTTCATTTGTTGATGAACTATGAAATTTGTGGATAGATAATGTCATTATGGTAGGGCGTAAATTATAATATGTATGAGATTATCTTTTTATATACATATCCTACAGATTAAAACTAGAAAAAAAATGAAAATATTTATATTTGAACACTATATGTATTTAAACATTTAGTATACAAATTATAAAAATAAGAATAAATTTATGTATACATATCAACGAACAATCAATGATATGCATTTTTTAGGACTTAATATTTATAATTTTTAATAACTATTATCATGTGGTTTTCATTTATTACTTCTTATTATTACTTTAGCCCACCGAAACAGACTGTGGTACCGGTTCATGCTCACAATGACTATCCGACCGAGGCAGTTCAGAAAACTCATGACAAGCCAATGCCAAGTCATGACATGAGACAACACTTTTGCCCAAAGCCAAGTATCCATCAACCTCGCAAATAAATACTCATAGAGATTCTTATTACACAAGACTGGACTTGGATATGTGTTATATGGATCCCATTAACATATATCCCATATTACAAATAAGAATGATTTAGGTTTAAATTGCATTTATTTTTTATTTAACATTCATTATCAGATTCTATTTAATATAGATTACATTTTTGAATGTTTATTTTATTGTTTACATTATAATAATATTGTGTTAATGTCATGGGTTTTGGGTATTTTAAATTAAATTAAATTTCAATTTCATTTTTAATTTTTTTTTTTTTTTTTAGAGTAATATAATATCTTTAAACCAATGTGTTTGGTTTATTTTATTGATAACTGCTATTCATAAAATAATGTAATTTTAGGGACATAGGGCGCTTTTACTTCATAAAATTACTAAATTTTTTTTTCAATTATAAAATAAGGGCCAATTGTAGTATTTAATGTTATCTAAAGTTGTTACATGATCTAGTTTTTTGGTCTTAAACATTTATCAAAGTTTTAAATTCTGTGTTTAAAGTGCTAAGCCATTTCATAATTTCCAGTATTTTGTAATTTGATTGGATTTGGATTAGTTAAAGTGTAATCACTAGATATTTTACATTTTCTTTCATTTAGGCAATACTGTTAACGTAACTTACATTTTAGGGAGCTATAATATTACTTTATTTTAACGAAGAGCTTTGCAGGGTTTATTTTATATTTATATGCCAAACAGTATCTGGTGCTAGAAATGAAGTGATCAATGTCTTAAAAAAGACTCCTGTCCTAAATATGTCAAAAATGTATTATTTCTATTAATTTACTTAGAGAAACCACTGATATTATTTTTTACAAATAATAGTTTGTAAAGTATTTCTATGCTCAAATATTAAAAAAAAAATGTATATTTACATATTTGTGAAGAATTTTATTATCGGAATGGTCTTAAGTAGTACCTGAGTCAAATGCAAACGAAACCTAAAAGTGTACAGATTAAAATGTCTGTCAAATCTATTCAAAAAGTTTAAATGAGAATGTATGTATAATTTACTTCACCGACATATGCGTTTAACGATACCTAATGCAAACATGATTCTTGACAATTATTTTTGTCATCACTAAATTAATTTTGCGTTCTAACCTCTGAGAACTTATTTGCCAATTATCAGCATTATGTGTATACATTTTTTACTCGAAAACGAGCTGGATGATGATTTTTGATAAAAATTTTATATGCTAATTAACTTTCAAAACTTTTAAGTTTTTATGGAAATTTTATCAGAATTTAGTTATGAATAAAAAGGTGCTGTCGATAATCTGAAAAATGAATCGTGCATACCTATTTGGTAGATATATGTATTTTTAATTAACTACGTAGACTAGTGGTAAAAAAACTAAACCAATAATTTTGCTGTATACTTCATTTTGATACACATTATTTCCATGAAATTTCCTAAAATAGTGGATAGGACTTCAATTGTAATTTGATAATCGTTTTGAATAGGGTTGCCATAAATTTACAAGGCGAAACCAGGACAAAATATACACTATATTGAGTAATATACTTTTAATATATTGAGTGGCGTCTTTTTTTAAATGTTATAAAAAAAATATTCTTAGTATAAGGGCGTTAGAAAAGTAAAAAAAAAAAAATAATAATGATTTGTTTGCAAATGATCCCCCCCCCCATACAAAAGTTATGTAAACGCTACTGAAGAAGAAGACACCATTAATGGTCGGCAATATAATATTTAAAAATATTTTTGTAAAATAAAATATATTGTATGTATATTGAATATATATATTTATATGTGTAAATTACAAATTATGTTTTTTTTATATATTGTTCATCTATTACGATTAAAAATGTACTTTGAGATAAAACGGTGGAAATTAAAAACTAAACAATACTACATTTCCTCTAAACGTCTAAGCCGGGACATATGGACGAACATTTTGGATGGAAAACATTTTTTGGGACACCGGGACACGAAGTCCAAAACCTGTGACAATCCCAGTTTTCCGAGATGTATGGCAAACCCACTTTTGAAAACAATAAACATATGAATTTTTAAATGTTTGTTGCTTCATCGATTTTTAGTGACACATACCGGGCCAAATTTCTGACAGTACTATCCATAGTGGAAATATTTATAATTTGTGTAATATCAAAATAGATTTATTTAACTCTTGGGGATTATATCTAACTTATTGATTGGGATAAATGGGTTTGGTTATTTAGTTATATAGTATAAGTTATAACTTACGGAGCGGAAACAAAATGAAAGAAAGCTGATAGTATGAGAAAGAAAAATTCTAAGATTTATGGTCCGATGAAAGAGAACAATGAGTGGAGGATAAGAACGAATAATGAACTAGGATTACTTTTCCAGAAGTCAAATATATTAGAGACAATAAGGAGTAGAAGACTAAAGTGGACTGGACATGCTTGGCGTAGTCAGAATCCCTTGCTACGTATAGTGTTTGAGAAAGATCCAGCTGGGAAGATCTGGTTAAAAAAGATGTAAGTGCCTTAGGTGGAGGATCAGATTGGAAAGAACAAACATTCAACAGAGATGGCTGGAGGGAGTGATGTTTGACGGGATGGTCCTAGCAATCGTTTTACTCGAAGAATTTGATATATATATTTAGTATTTAGTTGTCGACAAAAAAAATTTAATTCTGAACACGTAACACATATACATGGTATGATTTTCGAAATATAGCTGTTTACAGCCTTGAAATTAATTCCAATTATACTGATAATTTCCAATTTTTTCTTTTTTGTAACATCATTGACTGAAAGACAATTCTAAAATACTATAATACAAAAAAAACTGATTACTGACGTGTCTTTTTATTTCTTTATATGTTATCAATTTTGTTATCAAATTATGAGTCCTAGGTATTACATTTAATGTATGCACTGTGCACCCATAATTCTTTTGAAATACTAATTAATTATTTATACTGTAGTGTTAAGCAAATATACTAATTATTAATATTATGGTGTAAACTGTGTAGTTGACATTTTTAAAAGAATAAATACGTTATACATGTAACGTGGTAAGAAATAATACGAATTAATATTTAAATTTATCATTGATAGTTGATCAGTAGTATTAATAAATTATTATTGCACTGATCATAACATGCCCTAATAAATTTATAAGTACTCAGTCTTTAATTTGATGTCATAGAAATCATAATTTTATTTACAGATGGCAGATTTTAGTGATTGGTTTAAAAGTGTACCTTATTTCACTAAACGATGGCTTACACTAACATTAGTGTTGACATTGGCTGGTCGATTTGGCATATTAAACCCTACTAAGTTTATGTTGTTTTATGAACCATTTATTAACAAATTTGAAGTAAGTTTTAAATTTATTTTATTTTGGTTAGACTTTGATACAAATCTTTAAAATAATGTAACTGATGATTAATTTATAATGTGGACAGATATGGAGAGCAGTCACCGCTTTATTCTTATACCCACTATCACCTATGAATGGATTTCATTTCCTAGTCAATTGTTATTTTCTATATAGTTATTCAATAAGATTAGAAACAGGTAAGTCATTTTTATTACAATTTTAATGTATTTTATCTGAAAAAAAAAATATATATAAGGTAATTAATGTAAAGAATCTTCATGGAAATTGTAGTAATGGAAATGTATTTTCTTTTATTGTTTAGATTCATTTAGTGAAAGACCAGCAGATTATTTTTTCTTACTTTTATTTAATTGGTTATGTTGTGTGGTTATTGGCCTATTAGTAAATATACCGGTAAAATAATTTTTTTGCGGTCTTTTGTCAATATTCTTGTAATTGAATCATTAAACTTAACTGAAATTATTTTTCTTTTAGGTTCTTATGGACCCTATGGTTTTAAGTGTATTGTATGTATGGTGCCAATTAAATAAAGATGTAACTGTTAATTTCTGGTTTGGAACTCGTTTCAAAGCTATGTATTTACCATGGGTGTTGTTTGGATTCAATTTAATTATTTCTGGAGGGTAAATATACTTAGTTGAATGAATAAATTATTTAATAAAATTGCTTATTTTAAATGTTTAGTGGTCTGCAAGAATTGGTTGGCATTATTGTAGGCCATACATATTTTTTCCTCATGTTCAAGTACCCACAAGAAATGGGCGGACCACAACTTATACAGACACCTCAGATATTGTTAGTTAACATTATTTAAATATAATACTTTAACATAAATAATCAATTTAATTTCAAAATGTTTAATTTGTTCATTTAGGTATAAATTTTTCCCCAATCAAAGAACAGTTCATGGATTTGGACGACCACCGACTAGAGCAACTCCAGCAGCTGCAGCACCTATAAATCAACAACAGCAACAAGGGGATGGAGGATTAAACTATCGTCGTCACAACTGGGGTAGAGGTTATGTTTTAGGACAACCGCAATAAATTAAGTCTGATTTAAAAAAGGTTTTATGTTTAAACATTTATTGTATCTATTACAAATATTAAAGTAGAGGAATATTGTATTTTGTATTTTTCTTTATTTTATTTGGTATTAACTTTTCATCTCAGTGAATATTTATTATTAATATTAAAGTTATAAATATAAGAAAATAATAATAAAAAACTATTGATCTATTTTAATTGAATTGCAGGATTTTAGTTTATTTTCGAATACAAATGAGTTACATATTTTACTATTAACTATCAAAATGTATTAATATAATTGTTGTATTAACAGTTAAGATAAATATTAATTTAAAAATGTATTAAAAATTAGCTAAAACACCTAAATTGTATAAATGGATAATATATTTAATAAGGAAATTAATAAGTTTAAACTTTGCTCAAAATCTAAAATATTTTCTATATTAATTATGGACTTTAATAATATCTTTCACTTTGAAATAAATTTAAATTAAAGAACTTAATTTTTTTAACTATGTTACTTTGTAGAATAAGGATTTACAAAAAAAATAAAAGTTATAAAATCAGTAAACTATTCTCGATTTCCTTAGATGTACCTAATACAATGATCATACAATGCTTATACACTTATATATAAATCTGGTGATTTCAACTGTATGTCCATATATTTGAATGTTTATCATAGCTATTGCCTATTTAGATAATTATATTTTCCTTGATACTATAACGTTTTATAATACATATTTATAAGATAATATAAAAGGACCCCCCCCCCAGATAAAATAATCGTTATCTTTTTTTTTCGTCGCACAAATAAATAAGATAAATAACTGCTAAAAATAGATATTATTTTATACAATTTTTTTACCAATTTACAATTTACTTTTACATTACAGTAAATTAATAGCTATTGGAATATAAAAACAGCATAGTTAACAAAACTTTTATAACACCTATCAATATAATTATTTAATTATCATAATATTTGTATAATTGTATATTTTAAGTTCAAAGCGTAATAACGAAACTACGAATATATTACACGTCATCAATAATAAAACAATTTTTTTTTTTTGGCCCTGAGGGGGGTTTGAATCCCCCCTCGTATGTACGCCACTAATTATTATACATGAAAAATAACAAATTTTATGATATACTGAATTAAATACACGATAACATTGGTCATGGTGGTAAGCATAGAATGATGACCAAAATCATAAAAAAAACAACAATTTGACTCAAAAAGTGGTACTTATGTTTTTAAAATTCTGTGGACAATTTTAATTGTGTCTTACTCTATTTATTTATTTTAAATTGGTATTATTAACATCCAAATTCTTATTTTCTACGGTTGTTTAAAAATTAAATTTGGTAACGTGTAATACATTATTGAAAAGTTATTAAAAATGTAATTCATTGTATCGATGTAATTAAATTACACTTAAATAATTTGGTTGAGGTTTAAAAGACTATATTTACCAACATTTTGCACACTTGGTTTATATTTTTTTATTTTATTCGTATATTATTGTGATGATTGAGGAGCCGCCGAAATAGTTTGCCCCAGGTCCTAAAAATCCATAGAACAGCTCTGGATGCGTCCAAACAGAATTATTTGTTTTTCAAATCTTGAGAAGAGTACAAGTAGGACTTTAATTCACTTCGAAATACTTTAGTCCTTGGGGTCAGAATTTTAACACTCCTAAGATTTAAACTTAGTGCTCGTGAATAAAAATTTACTATATGTTATCGTCTATGGACAATCAATTTGAGTGAAATCGTATTTTATCATTTTCATTCGTCATTATTAATATTAATAAGTAATAAAATGTACAATATCATGGCGAGCCGATGGAAGTATGCTGAAAGGAGAATTGATATATATATATATATATATATATATATATATAGTGAGGCGTACGAGACCAAGAGGAAGACCACAAAAATATGGTAGGACAGCGTCGAGGAATTATTAGAAGAAATTAGAGTACACTAGGAATAGGTATACGATAGAGAGTGATGAAAGGAAGTAATTTTGGGGGCAAAGAGTCTAAATGACTTGCAAATCCTTTTTTTTTTTTTTATTTTTTAAAAGAATAATTACAATCTATATCATTTTGTACATTAAGTAATTTTTATAATACATGATTTACAATAACAAGAATTAACAGAATGGGAGGGCACTCAGTAGTGCCACCCGACAGATTATTTTAATAAATCTCTAGGCCAGGTCCGATTTAATCTTCTTAGAGGGTTGACAGGATTTTTAAAGGAGGAAAAACGATTGATTAGCGGGTTCGTATGTTGAGCTAGTTTAGAGTGGAATGAACGAAAGTGTGATTTAGTTAGTTGGGACAAAGTTGGAATTTTAAGGTCGTTGTGTAGGTTAATAAATCCTACAAGCTTGTAAATGTGTAGCTTGTAAATCCTACAAAAAAAAAAAAAATGTACAATATTTGTTTACACATTTGGAATTATAAACGTTATTTGCACCACACAATATTACAACCGAAAGTATGATTAAATCCAATTTTTTTTTTCTTACAATCTGCTCAATGATTCTAAATTGTTGTTTAATGGTATTTTAATTTATTTAGTTTCGGAAAACCTATTGTGATTCATGACTCCTTACTGGTAAGGTTGCCATAAATTTATAAGACGAAACTGGGACAACACAAACTAACACAAACACAATATTTAGTTATATACTTTTTATACAACTCTAAATATATTGAGATGATCAGTGGCGTATATAAGGGGGGATGTAGAGATAAGATCTTCCCTAGGCCTTTTTTTTAAATGTTATAAAATAATGTTTTTAGTATGAGGGTGTTAGAAACGTATAAAAAAAAAATAATGATTTGTTTGCAAATGACCCCCCATATAAAAGTTATGTATATGCCACAGAAGACAAGAGTGTATTTGAGGGAGGGGCGAAGGGGACATTCGCCCCTCCCATGACTTGTATTTTTTTTAATATAATACATTGATTTATTTAAAAAATGTAACGTGTAAATAATTAAGAATATAAATTACTAGTCTATCATTGTAATATAATAATAAATTCAATAATATGTCAATTTGATCACGGGTATCATTTTTTGTTTCTCTTCATATATCAAAACATTTTTGGTTGTGTAAGGAATAATGATATTATCTTCCACAGATATTGCTACGGTTATAGACTACAACCATAACCGAGGTATTTATCATATAATATAAAGTAATTTAAAATAAAACTTTTTTTACCACAAATTTACTAGTTAGTCATTTTTTGGTGCATTTATGAATATTGTGTATTTTTGTATTTATTAGAGTTATATAAGTCCTAAATAATTTTACTCGCTTACTATTGTTTTACAACATAATATCTGGTACTTTTTGTTGTACATAGGTATTTAGTCATTTTTTTGTGCACAAATATATGCATATTTGTGTATTTTCTAGAGTTAGAAGTCCCTAACCCAAATAATAATCATAAAAACTGACAATACATATTTGTTTCCATATTCTTTAACTTACAAATATTGGTCAAAAATATATTTTTATAAATTTAAAACATGGTTAAGATCAAGAATAGGCCAGCATAGATTAACAGGCTTGGCTTTGCTGCATGTGCATTAAAATAGTATTGTACCCATTTATGAAACAATCAACAAATTTGCCAAAATGAAAAAAGAAATTTGGAATTTGTTATTTGACTACTTACCAATCTTATATTTTTTACTTAGATATTTGTTAAATTAAGTTACCTTTCTTAATTGTTTTTAAAGTTTTTAATATATAATAATACAATAATTAATAGGTACTATTACTACTATGATTAATTGTCGTTTTTTTTTATACAGGATTCAGACTGAAGGTACAATTTTAATATAAGAACTATTTGTGTTGTTATTATTAATACTTATTTTATATGCAGTAGGTTTTAAATATATTTATTAAATAAATATTAAATTCAATTTGGTACTTGTATTTTTATTTATTCGCTCTAATGAGCAACAGGAACATGAAGTAACGAACCAGTGGCGTAACCAGGAAATTTTTAGGGGAGGGGTCCAACATTTTTATTTTATCTGTTCTCTAGTTATAATTATAGTTTAATACCAACAAATTACTATAGTAATAGTCACAATAGTTAAACACACATCACACATATTCTGCACAAAGGTTTACTATAATAGGTAGGTACTATAATTTGAAATAAATTTTTATTTGGTAGTAAAATGTTATAAAAAAATACATTACTTAATTAACAATAATAATTAATATTAATAAAGCAGTATAAATTAAACATGTTTTATACATTATAAGTATATTATATCACCTATTAACTTTGTATATTGAAAATAACGGGAAATTAAAATACGCTATATACTATTTACTATTAAACCATTGAGTATGTAGAAATGGGAGGGTCCGGACCCGAACCTCCTCCCCCTCTTGGGTACATCCCTGTAATGAGCTGTAAATTATTTTTAAGTTTGTATTGAAGAAAAATTAGTTTCGCCCCTCCCCCATGGTCTCAACTCAAATACGCCCTTGACTGAAGAGGATCATTAATGGCCGGCAATAAAATATTTAAAAAAAAAAAATTTGTAAAATAAAATATATTATATACTTATATGTGTAAATTACAAATTATGTTTTTATTATATATTGTTAATCGATTAGGTACGATTAAAAATGTACATTGAGATAAATAGTCGAAATTAAAAACTAAACAATACTTCATTTCTTCTAATCGTCTAAGTCGAGACATATGGACGTCCCGAAAACATTTTTCGGGACACTGGGTCGCGAAGTCCAAAACCGGTGACAATCCCGGTTTTCCGGGACGTATGGCGTTAGGTGATGTAAATAGCATCAATAATTTTTAAAAAACTTTGAATAGTCTTCAGAAATCAAGTTTTCTGTTCCTTTTGATACGATACTGTGATAGTTTACTGATAAATATTTATCACAGCTATGTATGGTTAACGGATAATATACTATAAACCTGTAATATTTATTGAATAAAATAGGATTTCGAACTATTCGAAACATTTTCATTTCCCGTTACCTGACTAAGTCATTAAAGTTTGTTGAATGATTTCGATAAATTATCTATTTATGTGATGAACCTATGTTCTGTTGAATTTTTTCTTTAACATTTTCCAGATAGTTATTGGCATTGAATTATCAATAATTCAATTATTTTTCAAACATACGAGTACCTACACCGTAACAATTAGCATCTGGTTAACACCTGCATGTTATCATGGCCCATAGAGTAGTATAGCCATGTCCGGTAATACCACAGATTACATTGATAATCTGTATTTTCTTAATAATCTTCATTAATCTGTGGGGTAGTAATACTACAGACTCTATAGTATAGAACAGTGGTTTTCAAACTTTTTAACAATGCGGCACACTTCATCTTCAACAAACTTTTCGCGACACACCAATCCATATATATATATATATATATATATGTATACTATTTACAGTCTACTCTATTAGAGAGTTATTTATTGTGAAATATATTAATACAATAATCGATCGATCGAGACGGCTGCGACTGACATACTATAAATAATATTATATGTATCTACGATTAGTTCGATCAGTTTTCATTTCGAATATCAATAATAAACTGGTAAATACGTACTTATAAAACAATTTATAAATTTATTGCGGCACATTTAAAGGGCACTGACAGCACACCGGTTGAAAACCACTGGTATAGAACATAGAGTAATACAGTGATGGCCAAACTACGGCCCGCGGGCCAACTCCGGCCCGCCATCATTTAATATCTGGCCCGCGAAAGTCTTCTATATTACAGCACTTATTTGTATAACTGTAATATTTTGCATTTACGTAAAAAAAAATTTAGAATGCATTTTTTTATGGCCCGAGGAAAAAAAAGTTTGGCCACCACTGGAGTAATATATTATACTACATATATTAATATTATTAATTAATAATTATTATATTATTATTTATTATTATATATATTATATATATTACTCTATGGTACAGAATAATATTTTATATCTTATTATATGTTATATCTTACTCTATGGGTAAAGCCGGGTTAGTTGACAAGTACGCCAATAATCATATACTCGACAAGTAGGCGAATAATTTACAAATTTTTTGTTCCAACGACTGGTATACTTGACAAGTACACCAATAGTTTTATACTTGTACAAGTATCAATTAACCCACTCCTACGTCATGTAGGGCATCAGTGTGGTTCCAATCGTTGTATCGACAACACCTTTTTATGAGTTTAAGCTTTTGTTGTTAAAAAGTAAAACTCATAATTTAATTAACATACCAATTATTACCATGAGTAGTGACAATGATAAAATATTAGTTTGCTCATCTTTTATGGTAATGTGCAATGAATACTTAAAGCACAAAAGCAAAATCAAAAAATCAAAAGAAAGATGATGGATGATGTATTGTATAAACAAATATTTAACAGTAAAATAAATTGAAAATTATTAAATTATTTATATTTTATGAATATAATGATACAAATATTAATATTAATATAATAAAATAAAATGATATTATACAATATGTAATTAATCGTTTTTGTTCATAAGTTACCATTTTCCTTGACCAAAGTGAACGAATCCTTGGATCACTAGTACAAGTATGTTTGCTGTTCCTTTGACTCGTGTCACATTTACCGATAATGTTCGGGAAATTCACAAGTGACGAATAATTGTAAAATTATACCGATCCCACGACATGGTAAGACTTCATAAGTGACGAATATTTGGCAAGTACGCCAGTCGTGGGAACTCGGCTTAATATGGTATTACCACTAGTACTGGTACAGTACTATAACAGATTACATCATTTAAAGCATCGGTTCTCAACCCAGGGTACGGTAAAATGATCTTAAGGGATAGGTGAAAATTAAGTAATGGCGAAAAAGTTGAATTTGTTTTATTTAAAATGATTTGTTTCTGGAATATGTAATGTATGCCATTAAAAATAAAAATCTTAAACTAATAATTCAATAACCATCAATTTGTCTTATAGAAATGAAGTTTAGAATGTATATTATGAATTCTATATGTACATATATAATATTAAGTAAAAGAATAAACTAAATGCAGCGACAGATTTAAAATTTAAACTTGATTATAAAAAACTATTTAATTCAAAATAACGCCAAGGGTCTTCCTAAATTTTTATATTACAATTTTTTTATTCATTAAATAAAAGAAAAATAATTAATTTCTTTTTTTTGTGTCTTATTATAAAATATAAAAAAATAGATACATTATTATACTATATTATATTAATGTTATTTTTTTTAAAAACCATTTTTAAAGTAGTTTTTTGAAAAAGGTTAAAAATTATATTAAGGTATACAATCTAAAAAAATTTTAAGCTTAGGAATACGGAAAAAAAAAGTTGAGAACCTCTGATCTAAAGGCATTTCACTAATATCAGGTTATCATATTTCTATGGGTTATCTATTTAGCCATGAAATTTATCAATGACCAATGAATACGCCGATTTGTTTAACGGACATTTTTGTGATATTATTTTGATGCAAGATGGTGCTGCTACTTGTTCATTCGATATGTCCACGGCTTTTTGTTAAAATCTTAAATCTGTTCATGAAGAATAATATTTCAAATATTTATTGAGTTCCCCACACTTATTTAACTACCGCTTCGATCTTTTCGTGTTCTGGAAACCTTTTCGTGAACTGTAATATCGTGGTGAGTTGAAATTGTTAAATCCATTGACAAACATTCGTTTAATTGAAGATAATCGTCAACGCGTCAGAATTTATTCGAATTACTCGTTAGTCGTTATTATTGTAATTTTTTTGCTGTTGGATGTTTTTGTTCTAATTTGTAAATTTTTATTGAACAGTATTCAATGGTTTTTGGATATATATATATATATATATATATACACATATATATGTTTTTTTTAACAGTGAGCTGTTAACATCTTACTGATTCAAACTTAATTTTTATTCTTATATTTTATAGAATCGTTCAAGATGCCGCGTACCAAGAGAAGAACTGTTAGACAGACATCTGGTGAATTTAACTTAACTGCTAATTCAACAATTGCTAACCAACCAAAAAATATAAAAGAAATTTTAAATGAATTTGATACTGAAAGTAATATTATTTACTTAATAAAATGTAAAGTGTTTGTTTTATTAGTGCAAGTTTTTTTTTTTTTTTTAGAAAATAACATTGAAATCAGATTTGCTGAAGCATTTGAAGATTTTAGAAATAAAGTGGAAAATGCATTTTTAATGGTCAAAATAAATTTGTCTGGCTCAATGAATATGAATTTATATGATTATGTAAGTATTATAACATTTATTCACTTGCTTTTTGACAGCATCACACAGTTATATTAATACATTTAAATGTATAGAAACAATATTCAAGAATGATATTTTTTTATTTTCTAATAGATTGCTCAATGTAATGCAAAAAAGTCTAACAATGTTGTCAGTTCTACTTCAAAAATAAATGAAAGACCTTCTAGGAATGTTACCAGAACTGCAGAAAATAAAACAGCCAGACAACAAAGCGGTAAATATTTAAATAAATTATTATGTGTAAAATTATTAGAATTTTTTTAACTTAAATTATGAATAAATGCATTATTTAAGTTCTAGAAAATAACTAGATACGTAATAGTTTGATGAACATACTTATAAATTATTTTATATAGAAGTTTAGAACTTTATTTTCCATTATTTGTTACATTTAATATTTATCGGATGACCATCAAAAAATAAGTTAATTTTAATAATTATAATTATTGAGTCACTATCATTATGCTAGTCTACAAAAGCCCTTTTTTTAAATTTGAATGTTTTTATTATAAACTATTATAACTATGATTACAGTACATACAAACTGTAATTTCAATTAAAGCCTTATTTTTTTTTTTATGTAAGATATCTTTCTATTATTTAAATATATTTATTAGTAAATCAAAATTTTTTGCTGATGACCTAATTTTATATATCTAATAATTCTAATATAAATTGTCTTAAAATTTTTTTAGATAACCTGTTCTAAATGTTCATTTTATCTGCTTAGACATTAATAGTTTTATAAATGTTTTAAAAGGTTTATAAACTTAATACAATTTTCCATATTAATGATTAGGTGGTAGAAGTTTACAAACACACAGCGTACTTCGCGGTATGGTTAGTGGTTTAACTATTGTTTGCTGTGGGCACGTGTGTAAATTTGTAATATACATCTGTAAGACCATTGGGGCACAACTATAAGTGACCCTGATGTGTTTTATTGGTCTTTTTTTTTTCATAAAATACTACATAGTGAAGGAAGAATAGTGGTGAGCACGATCTCGTAGATATTTTTTATATGCAGTCATGTACGTTTTGTGTTATCTGTAAACCCGATGCATAAATAATTTAATATTATAAACCAATATAATAACAATGCAGTACATGCTGAATATCCTTGTGGTTAACGGCTGCGGTATTATAAGATAATCTCAGTTTTACTAAACACATTAACAAACATTAACCCTTTCAGGTCCAAATTTATTTCTTATAGAGATAAAAAAAATTTTATTGTTTATTTATTTTACTATGGACTATAATAAGAGTAAAATGTTTTAAAAAAAATTTATTTTTAGATTTTGACGAATTTAGGAGTATGTCCTCTATAGGGGACATTGGGTCTGAATGGTTACAAAAAAATTAAAATTAAAATTATCATATTAAATTTTAAAATGTTTCAATAAGTATAATAGCAATATAATGTAATGAAAAATTATTATTTTTATTCATAATTACAATAAAATAAAATAAAATACTTGTGAATAATAAAACAATTATTTATACAATATACCATTTTATTGATGAAAATTAAAAAAACAATTATTTGTACTATTAAAACATAAATGGATATTACATTTTGTGCAAAATACATGTGTTTTTCCGTTGCACCCAGGATTTTTGCATCTTGATGTGTTCTCTTTTGTATGAAATTTAGGAAAATGATCAAATTTATCTTTTCGCACATCATTTGACGGCTAACTAGAATCAACTTTTCGTGCTTTAGGTTTAGTTGAAATATCGATATTTTCTCCTGTATCTGTACGAGGTCTTCTCCTACGTGTTGGCGTTATATTTTGATTTTCTTTTATTAGATTTTCCGCTAGTTCCATACGAAAATGTAAGAGATCTTTTCTTTTTTTTTTTTATTTATATTATAATGGTCTGCGTCTTTTAAATATTGCAACCAACAGTTTGCCACTACAAGATCGAAAGCATGTACAATCATTCGTAGGGTCCATTTTCTTGAACGTATAAACGTTCTATAATAACTTATAAGTTGGTTTATTTTATCAACACCCCCCATTGAAGTATTATATACTGTTACTATTTCCGGCCTTTCAATATTGACGCACATTTTTTGTTTTTTATCCCAACGTTTGATAGTTTCCAATTGTCCAGACCCAATATAGTTGGAAACTAAACAAATAGACCTTGTATCATACCATTTTACCATACATAAATAGCAGTTATTCATATTTGTAGAAATTTCAAATTCTGACACGTTACCGTCCCCCAATAAATCAAAAATTTCATGGTCGCGTAACTCCCTAGCCATTTTAAATAAAATAAATAATAAAATAACTAATAAAATGTAATATATTCTATTTTATTACTTTATAATATTATAATGACGTATAAGCATAATATAGGGAGCGAAATGTAATCAGTATTGTAACGACACGTGAAACGCTGACGAAGTGATTACGAAATCACGAACGCCACGAACGTTCAGACCCAATGTCCTCTAAGAGGGACACATACAAAACATTCGATAAAATTAGTTATATCAAACATAATAAAGTGAAAATTAGTTCGAAACACTTATATGATAGTTACCCAAATAAGAAAAAAAAAACCAAGCAATTATCACTATCGGTTAATAATCTATAGACATTTATTTATACCAATTCCGTGGAAATAATAACAATGGAATAATATAACTGTCTTTAAATCTAGAAATTCGAATCCCACATTAATTATGGAACTATTTTTGGATTCTACGGTACATTTTCTATAAACTCAATATATAATTGAAGACAATTCATTATCACAGCAATAATATTAAATTAAATATTGTTGTGTCCTCTAAAGAGGACTTTGGGTCTGAAAGGGTTAACTTAATTTTTGTTTTTAGTAGAAATTGTTCTGAATTTAGCAAATCTCATATACCTTGTGTAAAATAATAATCTAATAACCTTATATCATAAATATTTATTTGTCTAAAACATTGGCTTAATAAATATTTATAGTTGAATTTGGTTTGGTTATTTGAAATCCAACTAAAGTTTAAAAACTTGAAATATTTATAATATATAAAAAATATTTCATAGTAATCTGTGCATAGTTTATGTTATGGTATTTAATTAAGTTACCATAAAATGTAAAATCCATATTTAAGAATCAAGATGAAACTATATGAGTGTATTTATCCATAAATAATTAAATCACAAAATTGATTACCTAAAAATTTTAAAATAAATTAATCTTAAAATACCATTTTTTAACATACATTAACCAAACCAATTTTTACTAGTTTAAATAGAAATAATTTTATCATTAAACAATATATTAAATCACATGATAATATACTGTAATAACAATTTTAATTTTTTTATTTTGTTTTTTTTATTGTGCTAACAATTCAAAATTTTGTATTGGCTTCTAATATTATTATCTCAATTTGTAAATATATATATAAATCTGTAAGATAGTTAATTTAAATTTATACACTTGCTGAAATATTATCTATAGAATAAATATTTATTCAACATTATTATTCAAGGGTGTTATAAATAAATAGTATTTGACGGTTTTTTATTACACAAGTAGAAAAACTGATTTTTAAATAAAATTACCTTTCTGTGCTAAAATATTATTATTTATGTTGTAGCATCTAATATAAAAAATAAAACTAATAGTTCATCTACTGTGATCAAACATCGTAGTGCTACACGCCATGAAGATAAAGCACCATTAGAAAAAAATGAATCTAAATTTAAAGTATGTATAATACTAATGATATTAATAATAAAATTGTAATTATTAGTAAAATTTGTAATACTGTATTAAACAATAATAAATAATGACATAACAAGTTATTAAAAAAGCTATTTTTATTTTTAATCGAGTAACATAATTACAATTTTAGATTAGAGAGCATTATATTTTTCTTAAAAATTTATCAATACTGATTTCAGACCCCTGTCAATAAACCTATACCTATTTTTCCCTCTGTAACTGTCACACCAAAAGTTAATATGAATGAACCAATATCAGTGATGCGTCGCCCAAATCAGGGAGAGGTAGCACTTTCAATGACTGGAAGTCCACTCATGGTGTCATCTGTTTCTAGGGATGATATGGCTACAGTTAGTGTACCATTAGCCAATGGGAATGTGAGTTAACAATTTTAATTTATTTAATGATATTCTTTATCACAAAAATATCATTCCAATACAATTATAATTAATTTATATTGTTATAGCATTTTTTCTTTTTTTTAAATAATAATACATGATATATTCAATAATTTATTTAATCTTGTTTATTTCTCTTCCCACTAGGTACTTTCGATTTTACCAAGGGCAGGGGCAACTATGGATGTATCCTTCGATGAACAAACTAAAAGTGAATTACTTCTTCTCAAGGGAAACATTGAAGGACTATTAAATAAGAATAGACGAGTCTAAGTACATAACACAAAATTAATTTTTATTGACATGCTTGAAAATATAATTTAAGTTTTTTATGTTGATTATATAGTAAATGTAATATAAGCATAAATGTATTAATTAATAATTTCATCCTTTACTAACCATAAATGAAATATGTAAAAATATATATAAAAAAAAAAGTTATTTTTACTTAATGTAGTTATAATTTGTATTATTGTAAGTGCTGTTATTGTAATACAAAAGTATATGATGACATTTCTATGATGTAATTAATTATTATCAACACACTTTAATTTTGTGTGTGTGGAAATTGTAAATATCTTACTTTTTATTTTTGATATTACCAACACTGACAGTTTAAAATTATGTTTTAGTTGATGTATGAATTTTCATGAACCATAATTTTGAGGATTTTAGTGTTTTGTTAAAATTAAATTATTATTTTTTAAATAATGTGACAAGGAGTCATAATTTTTAAATTAGAAGTAAATTTTATGTTTAAATTAATTTATATTTGTAATTAATGAAGTGATAATTTGTATTTATTAAATGTATTCATAAAAATAAATTTTACATGTAAATTGGTATTAGTTTTTTATTGGGATAGGTTAGCTGTGTTTATATATTATTACTTTAGTATACAACTAAATATATCTATGATGTAATATCTATTGTTTATCTTTAGAAGTTACTGCAGTTAAATAAATTAATAAATCTTCAAAAAATATTATTTTGAAATTAAATTTGGTCCATTGAATTATGTAATAATATATCTTCTGCTTGCATTTATTAATCTCGAAGAATTTATCACAATGTGTCTCCATTCTTCTCCTTTATAAACCATTTTTCTCCGCTCTTGTACTCCTATTTTCTTGAGATCTTCCACTGTATCACCATCTCTTTCTAGGCCATCTGCAGGGCCTCTCCCTGTAGGAATCCATTTCAGCACCGCCCTAACTGTCTTTTCCTCATTTTTGAGCATTACGTAACCAAGCCATTGTATTTAACTTCTAAAGCTACTGACTGGTACTGGTTCCAACTTGTAGTTCCCGATTAAATTTTCTTCTCCATGGACCTGTTCTGTTTTCATAATAACAGAGAGGGGTAACTCAAAGTTACTAGAAGGTCAGTTTTTAAAAAAATTAAAATCTAGCGGGCCAGAGCATAGAATACAAAACAAAAAAAAAGGTCATTCAAAATATGCATTTTAGAATTTTTATTAGCATTTATATATACATGGAAATAATAAATTCAACACACATGACAGCGCGATACGAAGAAACTGATATAGTTAAATAGTTCAGTACAAACAGCTATGTTTGAAAGTTTTACTTATACGTACACATTTAACGATATTTAATACCAGATAACTATTATATCGATAAGTTAGAGTATAAACGATAAACTTTAAAATTGTATGATGTAATTTTAAAATATACACGGGCCTGATAAAAAAGACTCGCGGTCCGCCAGTTGCTCACCCCTGATACATAGAGCCACAAATTGTTCTCCATATCTTATTCACTAACGTCCTTAATCTTCTTTTTGTATTACTAGTGGTTGCTCAGGTTTCTCATTCATAGGTTAGGCTTTCAGCCTTTGATATTTTTATTCCAATCTCCCTTGACCAATCATTCTTGACGTTCATCATGGGTCCTAAATATTGAAACTCGTTAACTTTTTGAAAAACTACGTCTTCATCACCATCGTCCGTATTCTCTTCGTTCTTTAGTGATTTCCTTACCTTCGTTTTTCCCTATTGATTTGTTGTCCTAATTTACCGGCTGCTTGTTCCAATACTTGTGCTGCTCTTTTGATGTCATTTAACGAACTTCCTAAAATGTCAAAATCGTTCACAAACCTAAGCACCTGAATTTTTTGCACTCCTATTAACCTGTTGACTCCTGCATTTCATAAATTGTTTTTTCCAACGCTAAATGAAATAACATTGGAGACAAAGCATCTTCCTGTTTTAGTCCAAACTTTACTTTGAATGCTTCTGACAATGTATTATCTACTCTTACTTGACATTGTAGATTCTCCATGCTCCAGGCACATTTTGGTTTAACCTATTAGCTTCTTTGGGATCCCAACTTCATCCATTATACTGTACAGGCTTTCCCAATGTATACTGTTATAGGTATATAAGTCATATACATTTGAGTTAAATTTGATCATGATTAGATCATGACCTTCACATGCCACAAGGAGGTTGAAAATTGCAAAATAGGGTTGGCTTGTCATTTTTTGTATATAATTAATAAACTATTGAACTTATCGTAAAAATGTACATAACTGAAATTACAGACATTTATATTTTTAATAAAAAACATTTATACAGTTTTTCATACATCTATTATTTTATATAAAAAATAAAATATCGAATATTTAATTTATTTAAAAAAGTTAACTTTTTTATGGGTTTTTAATCACATCAGAATAAAGGTCGATGACACGACAAAATATCTCATATAAGAATAAAAAATTAAATTTTCAAAAAAAAGTTTAAAGTATAAATTGCTTTGGATTGATTGTTTTATTGAAAGAATTGGGAATGCGTATGAAAATTAAAAATATATATAATGTTTATTACAAGTATGTTAACTCAATAGTTTCAATAATAATACAATTTAAATGCCCTTAGTTATAGGGTGGGAGGGAAGTTCAATGTTTTTAATTTCTCATCCCTCTAGTTTTTTCATTACTATAAAAAGTTATGAATGTTAAATTTGGTGAAGATTACCACTTTACGTACCATAAGAGGACTGAATATTACCAAACAGGGTAGTTTTAATTTTTTTTTTCATTTAATTCAAAATATATTGCATTAAACATTAAATCGTATAGAACCTAAATTGTAGATTAAAATACTGTATATAAAAAATGTTATTATAACATTTCTGGTCAATATATTATTTTCTATGAAATATAATATAAGTTATTACCTTTTTCTGGAATTCTTAAAAAACCGTAAAAAAAAGTTAATTTTTTAAATAAAAGAAATATTTTATAATTCTTCATTTAAAATAATAGATGAAACTAACCCTATTTTGCAATTTTTCAATCATGAAGCAAGTGAAAGGGTTTAGTAATCATAACAGCATTTAATTAAAATTTCTTTCTTATAATAATGAACAAAATGAGGGGGTGAGAAATCAAAAACATTAATATTTTTTTTCTGCACCTATAATATCTAAGGGCCATTCTAATAAGTATATATATAGTATTATATGTTAAATGTAACATTTAATATGTTTGATGTGCATGTATGTGGTGGGATTCGTAATCTTAATTTGCTTCAATGTATACAATACCATATGGAAGGGTAGCCACAAGTCAGTTACCAACCATTCTACATTCTAAATTCTCATCTAATAATTTTAATATTATGTTTGTAAAATTATTATGAATTGTTTTATTTGTTGAAATCTTAAATGTAATGGTGTTTTATGTATTTGTTATTCATGGCTTACAAAACAAATAAATCAATATAAATTAATCTATACAATCTTTATTGAATAAGTAAAATCATAAATTAGTTTTAAACTTATAAAAATGTAATTTTCTATTGAACATAATTTTAAGAAATATAAAAAAAAACATTCTACAAGAAATGTATGTAAAAAAAAAAAAAACTGAATTAATTCTTTCACAATATACAGCTATTGTTTTTTACGTTTGTTAGTAAAATTTATTCATGTATACATTTAAATATTAATTACTTAGTAATTACAACTGTTTACTTAAAAATGCATCCATTAAAAATAATGATATAGTGAATAATAAATTTGAATCAATTAACACAAGAAATTTTAGATGATATCAATGGTTAAATAACATACATAATTTTTAATTTACTTCATTATCACTATCATCATCCATTGTAATGGATTCATCTTCAGATGATGAACAACTGGGTATGTATTCGGATGTACTGGATTCTCCAGCATTATTCACAGTCGATTTATTAGATTTATTCTGTTCAAGAGGAATATCTTGGTCAGTTTCTGCATCACTGGATATATTGCAGTTACTTAAATGATTATTAACAGCATCTTCACTGAATAAAAATACAAGACATATTCTGCATACCCATACCGTTTTGTAACCGTTGGGTGAATTATCATATCTTATCATTGATTTTGGACAAAATAATGTTTGTGTTTCATTTGATTCTTCTTTATTTTTTTTATTTCTTTTTTTAATCTTTTTCTTCTTTTTTTTCTTTTTGGACTTTTTTAATTCATTTTTTTGTAATACTATAAATAAAAACAAAATCTCTAATAAGTTTTTATAAAATAGTACATTTATTAATTTTTTTTATTTTATTTCTGAGAATTTTTAAAAATGAACATAATTTCTTGATAATCATAATGATGTAGATATGTATTATTGTTCCAATATATTGTTAGAGTTAATCATACAACGCACAATATTTGATTCGTTTAATATCGTGGAATTATATAAAATTAAATAGTGAAGTAATAAGGAATACCTGATATAAAAATAATAAATTCCAGTTAAATTAGATTATTATCATCTATTAAAATATATTAAGGGAAAAAATTTCTAAGATAATCAAATAAAACCAATTATAAAAGAAACTTACTTTCTTTTAATATTTATGTTCATACTCTTTATATAAGTAACCAAAAAACTATACTTCATATATATTAAGCATAAACTAAAAAATTAGTTGTATCTATAGAAATTCTAAAATAATTTATAATGTATCAATTTCAATAAGTTAGTATAATTTTATTAATTGTTTATTGAATTTGTGGTAGAAATATTTAATTATTTTCTGTAGTATTACTTTTTTCTTTTAACTATTCAGATACATTTATTGGTTTTAATAAATATTTGTTGGCAGATAAAAATGTATGAAATTGGTAACCATTTGTCTACTTAAAAAAAAAAAATGGTACTGTTATCATAAAATGAAAAGGGTTATATGTCTAGACTGTACTTCTCACCTGTCCATAAACAATTTATATAATAACTATTTCCATAGTAGTGTTAGTGTTCAGTGTAAATACTATAAATAAAATTACTATTTTAAACTATTTTTAAATAATAAAATTGGAATAGATATTTTAAATTACAGGATAAATTCAAATATTTTAATAAGAATGATAGGATATAACCAGTAGCATGGTGAAAGGGATTTTATGATTTTATGATGCCCAAGCGTCATGATAAAAATGTTATAAATAAAAAAAAAATGTTAAATAATAATATATTACATTTTATATGTTTAATAAATGTTATTATGTTATATTTATGGGTGGGATCGTGTGGTTGGATTTAGATGTGTAAAGATTTTGGGCAATTACACACCTAACGAATTTCAAAGTTTAAACATATCACCAACATGAAAAACAAATGCAGCGGAATACACAATAGTCAATAGTAACATAACAACACACGACAATTAGATCGAAAATTCTGTATTGTTTAAATTAATTTTAGTTGATTTCAACATAAAAAAAGTATAAGCGTATTAGAATTTACTAATCTGAAATTTGAGTTGGTAAAATATAAGTAGGTATGTAATTCAATTTTTAATAATTTTTAGTCTTTTTTAATTTATGTTTTAAAAAAAATGTCAAGGATGGTGTGCTAGGGAAAGATGTGGCTAGGTAGGTATTGAAATATATGTTGTGCATCATGGTTCATAAATGTTCACCAGACCACTGGATGTAACTATGAAATACATTATGTTTCCGCATAACTCAGGATATAGAATATCTTTAATAATAGTATAAAAATGAATAACTGGTATACAGAAATCATAGAAGATCAATAACTATAGAAAAAATTAAATTATATACAACAATAACAAATTTTTTACCCGAGTTTTTGTAATCTTCAAAATCTTTTTTTGTAAATATTGTTGGAACAGAACCAGGTTTTAAAGATTTTCTGATATAGGTTGTATGAAAACACTCTTTTCTAAAATGAAATGAACAAACTCTTCGAGACGATCTGTAATCTTCTTCAGCTAATCCGCAGGCTTCAAGCCACAGCAATCTTTGAGCGAGATTGGATGGAAATCTAAAACAAATATTCCATTTATATATTTATTATTAAATTGAAAAAATTGAACTGACCTGTGTAAAGAAATTCCTGGATATTTGATTGGCGTTCTTAAACAAATAAAACAAGCATTGTGGTTGCCTTTTACACTCATTTTAAGACGAGTTTTATAGAAAATATTCAAACGAAATCATTTGATATTTTAATAGGACATTATATTGATTTAAAATTATTAAAAATTTTTCTAAGTACTGACATAACCAGGACGATAAAAAACGGATGTATTAATAATGAATCATATATCGCATAACGTTTGTAACTTAAGTACAAACTAAAAAATATAAATTAACAAAGTATTCGGGAAAATTGCAGTTCATTAGTGCTTAATGAGTTTACTATGTTTACTAGTAATGGACACTATCGAATTATTCGATAGTTTGATATAAGCGAACTGTTCGATAGTATTTATAATACCGGCCTATTCGATAGTATTGAACTATTCGAATATTCTGTTTTTAAAGACGGCTGAAGGACAGTTGTTTTTTTTAAGACACCTATTGTGAACTTAATGAGAAGTCTTCCATCATATTTTTTTTTTTTAAACGTTTGAAATGTTTTCAATAAAAATCTTGAAACCTTAATATAAGATCCTTCATAAGTTCATCTTCGTTGGTAAAAATGTCGACAGTGTTTATGGGTATTTGAAATTTAGATAAAATGACAATCAAGACTATATAACCTACTTGTTTTGTTGGAATGAAAAATTATTCAATTGTTTCATTCGAATGAAAACTATTTGAATTAAAGATATGTCATTCATGAACGACCTAGTTCAATTGAACTACTCACTTCAGTGAACGATATGAACTAGTTTACGTTTAGATGATCAAGTTCATCGTTAATTTCGTTCAATCGTTCACATCATGAACTACTATACACTATAGTATACACTTCTGTTCACTGTGAACGATTTATAGTTCGGATTGATTAGTTCACTATTTTTTATGTTTCATCTGTTTAAACTGATATCTTGTTATCACACTATGTGTTTATGTGTTATCATTTGAAAAATATCCATGTCATGTTACTTAAATTGATTTGCTTACTTTTATGCTTACTCAACTTACTCAACTATTTAACTGATACTTACTACATTAGTTAAAGACAGACGCGGCTTCAGATACTTACCAAGGGGGGGGCATTTTATTTTATTTTTGGCTCAATTTCAGTGGGGACTTATAGAATATACTAACCTAGAATGCAAGTTTGCCAATAAATAATCTCTTGTATTTACACATTATACTTGGTTTTATTTAATAAAATATTTTATAATATAAAATAGAAGGCTGGAGTTTGTAATATCATTATAAACTCCAGCCTTCCTTTTTTTCTTGGATATGGTTTTTTAGGCAAAATTAAATTGTTAGGTAGGTATTTAATTAAATAATCGGGATTTTACAGTTCACAAGGATAAAAATATATTAAAAAATTTAAATTTTTGAAAAGCCTGGGGGAGGCATGTCTTTATATCATGCCCCTCTTGGAGCCGCACCTGGTTAAAGACATGTACACTTATTTTTATGTCAAAATATATAAAAACAAAAATAAAAAATAATAATGACATCTGAAGTATGAACATACATTTTCAAAGCCTTCTCATGCTCATATACTCGTATGTACGGAGAATACACTATGAACACTACGTAATATAATATATTACATAATATGAACGATGAAATGACTGAATTTTTCATTTATGTGAACGATTAGTTCCCCGAATCGTTTATAGTTAATATGGAGAACGATGATCGATGAGTAATACATATGAACGATACGTAATAAATATGAACGATGAACGACTGAATAGTTCACCTAGATGAACGATTAATCCCATCTCTAATTTGTATGTTTTTTTTGAAAAGAAAATATTTGGTCGTGTTGATAACTATTTGAATAAATTATTTGATGGTAGGGATGTGTAATTTATGAGCTAGTCGACTCAATGAGTCAACTCTTAAAAATTAACTGGACGAGTCGAATCAGTTTTACAAGATTTGGTGATTCAGTGACTCACTGATTCAGTTAAACTCTCAATTCACAACTCACAACTGTACTTTCTGTAGATACACGACTTTCGACTCCCTTGATTGACGGTTTGCGAATCCAAACGGAAAATGTAATACCAAAATAAACAATAGTTCACAATGGTGTAAGATTATTATATCGTAAATAGCTCAGTAAATCCTACAACAATGTGTTGTTCATGGCCTATGACAGCACAGATAAGAAAAGAAAACGTAATCTGTGAACTGTCATCACAAAACGCGGCAGCGTGATGCTATGATCGCCGCGACCATATTAATATTTCCATTGTTTCTTAAAACATGATTTCCGACTTTCTGAGAAAAATTCTTAACGTTGTACGCTTACAATCATAATTTCATATACGATAAGTCATTCAAATCAAGACTCGAGACTTGAAGAGTTGATTAGAGTAGTGGTAATCTGATTGAAATATACAATTTAAGATTTTGGAGTCGACTCTTTGATTCAATTCATTACACTGAACTGAGTTGAAAGATTCAGTTCAGCAGAATGAGTTGAAATCCCCATCCTCATTTGATAGAGTGTAATATCTATCGAGTACTGATCGTCAGTAAAAACTTATCGATTGTGCCCATCACTAAGGTATACGTCATTATCGAGCACTATCGATTTCGTCTGGCGTGTTAAGACGCATGCGCAATGACGAAAATGCAGCCATTACTCAGCGATAAGCTAATTCTGCTTCATCATGTAGATAATACATGTGGTTTTTTTTTAGGTTGGGTTATTAATCTTTAACAACATGTGTTATTTTAATCCCTAGTATTATACTACTATATAGGTATGGTCGATGGTGTATTGGAATCTTAGAAATTGCGGGGAAAGGAGTAATGTAAATAGTTTTATTATCACAATGAATACCTATTGGTAGGGGGAGATCAGGCTCGGACCTATTATTCTAGATAAGATTCTAGATTCCACTATGTATTATTTCGGGAATCTTTAAATGTGTTTGTCTCACAAATTGATATTTGGTAGGATTTGATTGGTTAGAGGGGGACACTTTCTTATAACCTTTATATTCAACAAACATGATTAGTCATGTCATTTTTACATTATCATCTTATTATACACGTCTTTCTCGTGCCCGCCATTAGAAAAACTCAAACAACATTATTTTGATAAATAAAAACCAAAAATGGGTATCACGATAGAACAATACCACAGGATATAATAAAAAATACGGTCACGGGCTTAGTTATCAATTTATTTATTCTGTCATCTGTGATAGCGTTAATTATTATAACACGCGTATAAATATACACAATATATGATAGGTATGCATTAAGCTCGGTAAATACTAGATTTACTGCCGAAAAGCTGATTTAGACTAGATTTCAGTATAACATAATTTATAATAAACTTAGAATTTTCTATAATCATCCCTTGAGATCATTTAAAAAATATAATTAGGTCCAAGGTGCTATAAACAGATAATCTGTTCAATGTTCTGTAATTTCAGTTAAAGATGTTTTCAGGGCCGTGGCTTACTGTGCTACAGCACAGTAGCACAGTGGGCCAATCGACCCTGGGGGTGGTGAAGAATTCCAATTTTGTAACTTCGTATATCTGTCCATACGTTGTACAATCGGTCAACAAACACGCTATTGTAATTTATATTGATGGTTTAATAACATTAAAAGTAATTTATTCCAACGATTATTTATTCAAAAATATGAAACCCTTCAATGATGTTTATGGGTTATGAGTGTGATAAAGAAATGATAATTCCTTACACTCACAAATCAGTGGTAAATGTAATTAAATAGGTACCTACACAAAACTAATTTTAAATTTATCACAAGAATTCTTCAATATTTTAACTAATTAATTGATTACAGTTTTAAGCATGTGATTTTTCAGATTTTATTTGATACATTTTTCGTTACGTTCGTAGCAAACAAAATTTTAAAATTATATAGTCCATATTGAACATGTTCTTTACTGTATCTAAGATTTCGATTTCCTTTTAAATAGTAAATAATCTGAAGTGTCAATAATTAAATTTAATCGATTAAGATTTGTATCTCGGAAGAGTTCCATTTTTGTGCTAAGTGAACAGGGCCTAACCAAATATTACGCCCGGGGCGAAACTTAAAAATACGCCCTTAAGTATTTTAATTTATAAAAAAACTCACAAAAAAACTGAATATTTTTTATAGATGTAATATAAATAATGATTTTTCCTTATAATTATATAAGCGTTATTTAATTTTATTTAAATCGATAACTTATTAAAATATAAATATACATAATAATTATAAGTAGGTACATAGGTATAACATATGTTAGTGCTATTTTATTGAGCTTCCGAGACTATTCAGTTGCACTGATCGGATCTCGAACATTTTTAAACCTAAACGACCTTCCTTAAACAAGGAGGAGTGTATTCAATCCAATCCCATATCCTTCACTTACAATACTGAATTTCATATTATTTTTCTTTTCTTTTCACTAATTTAGGTTTATAACAATACTTATATTAAAAGTTTATGGGTTTATTTGGTAAACTTAATTTTTCTATACCTCGCATACTTAATAAAGTTACCGCTGTCACAACAGATTTGATCACTCAGTAAATTAAAATACTACACTCAAATCTATAACTGTTATTTACAATTGAATCAAAATTAGAGTACTGAAAATTCACAGTACATAAAATATAAAAGTTAAATATTATGTTGTTAATATTTTATACAGAACAAGTTATAGTTATAGTTATAGTTTTTCTTATAAACATAAGAAAAAACAACTTTAACTTTTATCACTTAACCGTTATTCGGCTTGCGCTTATCGTCTTGTACACACGTGTGCTCATCTCGGGGCAACGTTTTCTTAATGCGAAGTGCTTTCGACATTTCTGGTCGTCTACAATCGAACTTACAAAACTTACAAAATCACTTGCGAACCACAACAATGTGTCATCGGCTACTTCGTCAGTTCCGTTTCGCGGCACATTTAATTATTTAACGAGACCCATTAAAAATATTATACATAGTACCTTACCATTTAAGATATAATACAATATAATTATACCGTAACAAGGATCGGATTAAGGTTATATTTCAATAAGATACATTTTATTACACATTTTTGTAAAACAATGAAAGGATTTCGACGCAAAATACGTTATTTTATTATACAATATATTAACTTAACAAAAAATATAAATATATATATATATATATACAATAAATAATTATCTGCTTAATTAAGGCCAACGGGCTTCATTAATGTGTTGTCACAACCAAGCCAACCGACAGTCTTGTGAATTTCACAAAATCCTAGTTGACGTTTAAAGCAATAGTGCAATGAAAGTCATTGCTACATATCATAATAACAAAAACGGTACCTGTAACGAAAACGTTTATATCAAGACCTGTAAATGGCACGTAGAATACATTTATAAATTAAAATTATATTGTTATAGGTAAAATTGTATTTAAGGGTCGTATGGAGAAGCAGGAGTCTTATTCTTAGGTTAAAGAGGTATTTTAATGGATTTTCTTTCTGGTGCAATTTCAATACTCTGCAGAAACGAAACTTACGTGTGTACTAATATTTCGGTGTGTATTATCGAGACGTCATTTGGTTTGGACCATTATAACGGCCGATCCGATTGGAAAAAATAACGGTTGTTGGCTATGAAATGATCGGCGGTTTTGTACGGGTGACCGGTGAAAAAACCGTCTATAGTTTGGTTTATTGTGCTTTCAGCTAGAAAATCAAAAAACAGCAATTTTTAACGAAATTTTGTAATACGTAAGTGTTCATTGTATGTTTATAAATAATTATTGAGAAAGAATTAAAACTTTTTAAACAGTGTAACGATGACGATGATTATAAATGTTTTTAAACATACTGAAAATCATCAAATCGCTTTTGGCGTGTAACAATAAAATAATAATGTATCGTACTCGGATCGCTGGCGCTTTCCATCATGGTCCTCGATATGAGTTGGACAAGAATCTCGAAGTCGGAGGATTTTTTGATTTGTCCGTGCTCAAAATATGGTCTCATGTGGTCTGAGACCAACAGCATGATCCTTTCGTAAGAAATTATCCGTTCCTCTTCTAGGGACAGGAATATTGGTCGATACTCGTGATTAAGGCAGTTACCAAATACTTGATTCATCTTTTGGTCTATCCGGGCTCGCATGGTTTGGGGTAGTCTTCTCATGTTCCTTCGGAACTCGTGCGTCGTAGCCACCATTGCACTGAGATTTTTATCATTCTTAACGATGTTAATCATCTCGGGTCGTACGGTATTCGGGTCCACAATGTCTTCCGTTGTCGATCCCGAAAACATTGATGTACACTTGAAATTTTCGATGGCCAGTGTCATAATGGCCTGTTCGTCCTGTTGATCTGCAAGCGTAAATAAAACGTTTATTTTAAGGAAACATAATAATGTACGCTCGATCATGAGTTGCCTGTAACAGACGTTAAGTTTTATTTGCAATAAAGCCCATAATCTTATTACCGAAGATTTGTGCCTGCGTCGGAAACTGAAGTAGGTACGCGTCGCCACAGGAGTTCTGCTGTCTTTCCTTGACATCAAAAACAGCGACCTCCATCGTCGATGCGGTTTCACGATTTCGACTGTCCGATTGCGCTATGATGGTCGTCATCAACTGGTCGTGAATCGTTGACGTGCCTGTACAGCTTTTCACTTCGTCTATCTGTTTACCCATAAAAAAGCATTACTATCGTGAATCATTTGCATGATATTGTATAATTCGAAGTTTTAGCATGAGCATATTTTAGTGGTGGTGGCGATGAAGCGATCGCTCCCCCCCCCCTCGTGAATCCGTATTTAAGTAATTTATTTCATGTGAGATATAAATTTCAAATTTTTTTAATGCTGATCATTTTATAATAAAATCAAATTACGCGTGGCTGTGAATACTGAATTTAGCTTTTTGTCGGGTCTATACTTAGTGGAAAATAAAGTAAAGTAAAATAGCGTAACTTTCAAAACACAGACAGGTATTAAAAAAGAATTATACAAAATCGATTCTAACTGGATCCGGCATTAGATTAAAAAAAAAAAATCACAAATATTTAGAATTCACCCGATTTAAATATTATCAAATATTTATTTGTACATTTTGATCCTGAATTAAAAAAAATTTGAGTCACCCCTCCCCTCTCTTAGAAGTTAGTCTAAATACACCCCTGCGTTTTAGTGCATCCGCGTGGGGTCTTTTGTGGGTACAGCAAGAATTGAAAGTAGTGCGAAGTTTCTTTTCCTTTTTTCAAATGCAACCGAGGGGTGAATTTTGGGAATCATAGAGTAGATATTCACGTACCGTTTTACGCATTGCATCGCAGTAAATCTCTGCTACCATGCATTTCCTTATCGCTTCCTTTTCCATCTCGCTCAAACACTTCTCCACGAACATTTCAATGGTTCCGTCTTCAGCCGAGCCGCGGTCGCTCGCAGTGTTTTCTTTTATGTTGGACATTAGCGTTTCACGCAGTTTTGTCAGGTAACCGACCCTTACCATGTCGCTGAGGCAATAGTCTCCGTTCTCGGAACTCATGTCTGCTGGTGTTGCCGGCAATCCCAAGTCCCATACCGTTGCGTATGGTAGTGAATTCATGATGTCTCACGTTCGAGTAAACTAGCTATGTACGTAGCACTGGTGCTTCCTGATGTATCAGCCGGAAAGGTTGTACGAGCCGATCGGAAACAACGGTCCACAGAGAGGTATGTTTATGTGTTCTACTGTCTCGCCGTAAGTTTGAAACAACTCGTATAGTCAAATCAATGGTTTACGGAAAACTAAAATCTCTTTCCTTATTACTTTTAATCATAGAAACCGTTTGGATACTATGACACTTTTTCGTCGATAATATTTTAGCCATACCATTTTTTTTGTTTTTAATTTTCATGATCGTGTTTATTGAATTCCGAGGAAGTTTTGTTTTATGAATGCACCGTCATTACCACGAAAACAAAATGACAGATTTTGATTGATATTCATTATACGCGTTTAGATATAAAAAACAAACCCTTATATTATATATATATATTTACCGTATGTTTTTAATATTTAAATAATTATTTAGTAGTGTTTTTGAGTGTATGATGTGCAATAAATTAGAAGTCATAACAATAGAATGTAATAATTTATCGTCGGTGTGTATAAATACAGAATTGGTTGTAAATACTGGACAAGGATACAATACAATGCGCGCTGTGACAGTAATAAAATTATTGCTGAAATGTTTACTGATAAAACAAAATAATTTTGCATTTGGGGAACTCACGCAACCTATCATTATTTTGCTCTAACTTTTTGGGTGGTGGTATTAACAAATTTTTATACTTTGCCACACCAAACAAAATATAAATCGGCGCCTCTGCTCACCACTGTACTTGAAAATCTAAGTATTTTGTGAGTAAAAAATGTCTGTCACCCCTACTAAGACGAATTCCTAATTGCGCCACTGCTTCTGGAATTTAAAGGAAATTGGTGGTGGAATGTGACTTGGTCACTTATTGGTAAATGGTCAAGTATATTGGAAGACAGCAGTCAAATTTGTATGAACCTTAATATTCAAGGTGTAGAGTGAACGCTACCACTGAATTGATTGGTGGGATGGGGTGGATCATTAATACATTGTTCGCTTCTATATTCTTTATAGCTCGCTACGCCACTGATTATACTTATTTCGGAACACAAAGATTAATCGAACCAAACACACAACGAAGCATATGCGTCACTAAGGAGTAGCAAGGGTATCTTTTTTCTAACTCAAAAAAAAGATATAGATTTTAAAAATATATTCAAAATTTATTATTCAAGTGCGTACGAACATAGACTTATGGGGAAAGAAATTAATATCGAGGGACCAGTTGTTAAAAATAACAAATAAGGAATAATAATAATAAGTTCGCCTAGAATCATCTTGGGGTCAGCAACCAACGTTGCATGCCGTAGAAGTTTTGTGTGGGCAATTCAACGTAACGCCGTCAAATAGTTTGTGAATGCAATTAAATATGCTCGAGTTTGAGGCGACGGCACCAATGAGCGACGACGGCGGGTAACACGGGACGGCAACAAATTACGGATAGAACCAAATATAATTCAAAAGGAATGGTGATGATGCAGTGTAATTAACAGGGAGGAGTCTGCGTGATCAGGTAAGATTCGTGTAATGATCATTAAGTTCACATAGATTCGGAATACACTTAACAATAGACAATCACACTTACGAGCTAAATTTAAAATACTTGACGACTAGACGGGAATGGTACCCAAAACAGTATCAGTGGTGTGGAGATCTAAATGTCCTGGGCGGCCTCACACACACCACGCTGGGTGCTGGCGGTCTTACGCGCTGCAAACACAGGAAACGAGCACCAAGCCCGATCTCGAGCGGCTGATGATCACAATCCACCGATGACGTTTATGATGCCGTTTCAATGGCGGCGATGGTACCGATGTACCGGTTCGACAAAGAAAACAGTTCACAAGTATCAGTTCAGGAAACACATCGGCGCAAACATAGACCATCTGTTATTGTATCCAAATTAATTATATTTTGTGATAAGTCCAATACAGACAATAAGATAGAGAGAATAATAAAAAAATAAATAATAAACAATAAGACAATACACCAGAGGTTGCGTTAATGTGCAGCTCTAAATTTAAACGTGCAGTTCTTATTTGAATGTTGTGCAGTTCATAAAAAAAAAATAATATAATTTTAATTTATAATAATTAATTCTATGTCTATGAGCTTATAACATAGGTACCATTTGACATTATTTTGTTTTCCGGAATTATTAGAAATTATGATTAAAACATTGATAAAAAATATTTATCTATGAATATCAAGAGATTAAAGCTACGGTATAAGTAATTTATTAAAGTTTTCATTACGTTCCGTCATGAATGTTTCAACTGAAAATATGTACTTATACATTAATTATAACATGCCTCCCTTGTATAATTGAGATCCAAATATTTCAATTGTCAAATGGATGAACAGCAAAAAACATAGAGTAATTACAAGAACAAAGGCTAAGTAACAAAATTATTTCATTGGTGTGTTTCCAGATGCTACAAACAAAAATGACCGATTTGAATATAGTGATACTGATGATGAAGAATTTATCACAAAAAATAAAATTTAATCATTTTAAAATTAGATTAAATGAATTTGTTATTTCAATTATTAAAATCTATATACATTATGACGTATAGTATAATATTATTTAATATTGATGTTAGTATGTATTAATTATTATATGCGAGCAAAGCGAGCGTCAAATTTTTTTTGGTGAAAACCATTTGCGCCCATCACACCTTTTTTATATCCCATTTGTGCCCGAAATATTTTTAATAAAAATGTGTTAAACCCGTGCAACGTTGCCAAATTGTATTCTGGAATACAAGCAATACTATTTATTAACCTTATAAAGTTAAAAATATTGTACGTAGTGATTGGCATAATCGAGTGAAAATAGTCGAGTTACTCGTTATTGTCATATTGATTCATTTTTTTAAACACAAAATGTTGAAAAAATTATAAAATTTAAACTATATTATTTAGACAATTATTATTAAATTACTATAATAGTATATTATACTAATCTACTTAATTTAAGTATTTATTAAGATAAAAATAATCTATATTATAAATCACAATGGCAACGTTGTATGCAAAATAGGCGCATATGGGCTATAAATCGGTAGGTAGTACCTTATCTTTCGGGCACATCTGCCTACATCCCTGGGAGCGTTAATGTACTACTCTGGGGTGCAAATAGGCTACAGCCATTTTTTTCACATCTGTAAAACAAACAGCATGTGCAGCTCTAATATTTCCTTAGTGCAAGCTCTGGTATACACTATACGTCATACCAAGATTTACGAAGAAGAGTTGGTTAGTTAAGTAAGCCAGTTTCGCCAGTAAACCAGTTATCATGTTATACCTTTAACGATGTATTTTTTAATTTTCTAAAAATAAACTTTGCTACCCAAAATTTCGACTTTAGTGACGTCCATGCAACAATGTATGCATTAGACCAGTTTTTATCAGTTGTAGTGATGAGTAGGGCTCGGAAATTGATGACCATTAAAACATTAAAAAATGATCTAAAAAAAAGATACAAATATGACATAAAAATTACAAAAAATGTCCTTAAAAAATTATCTAAAAAAATGATAAATATTTGTTTTGTAAATTTAATAAAGCTTATAAATTACTTAAAAATCAAAATAATTGCATTTTACAATTAAAGCGTATTTGATGTTATCAAAAGTAAATGAACGACGATTATCTGTATATAAATATTTATATTTGGAAAAACTTCTCTTCACGTCCACTGAAGTGATAAGGAGGCACAAACAAGCCACTAACCAACGTTTTAATTTTCGTCATTTCGAAAATATTACAAAAAAAATAGTAAAATTTAGATATAATTGGTTATATAAAAAAATCAGTAAAATGAATAAAGATGTCAAAAAATGACTTAAAAAGTAATAAACATCAAAAAATGCAAAAAGTGAAAAAAAAATATAGTTAGTCAGATTCACATAATTATGAAACACATTTGTGGACAGGAGAGCATTATCTAAAAAGTCCCCAAAAAAAAAAAAAAATACATCAACTTCCGAGCCCTAGTGATGAGCAAACAAAGACTATGGTAGTATTGGTCTTGTTTTTGCAGACTCATTCTTAGTCTTTTTTTGTTCATTATTAATCCTTGGTCTTGGACTTGATCTTACACTTCTAGTCTTGGTCTTGCTGCAAGATTCTTGCATTATTTAAAATTTAAAGAAAAAAATATATCCCTATCTAGGTTATGAATGATAGAATTTGATAATTGTTTACTATCTCCAAGATATAACTAAATTAGTTAAACATAATTGAGATATACGCATGTACATCATTGTATGACAATAATGTTAGTGAGCACTGTACAGTCTCGAATAACACATCGTAATTTATATCAATTTGTTTTCGCTTCAAAATCGATCGAATTTAATTAATATTTTTTGTAATTTTTTGATATTAGAGAGTTTATGTTTAGTGCAAAGGAAACTAAATTGTTGATTATTGACAGTTAGAAGCTAGGATTCCAAAAGAATTTTGCATTTGATAACTTATAGAGGTGGATATGCACAAAATGAAACGTGAAACTGAATAGAGATTGTTTATTTGAAGATCTTTTATCACATAATCACGAAAGGAAAGGCAATGGTACACTTATGCAACAATAATTGACAAATTTATTAAAAAGAAAATGTGAAGAAATTTTTCACAGAGCGACCACCTAAAATTAATTGGGAATAGGTCAACTTTATAAAATATCTTTTTCAAATGGGAACTAATTCGGCATGCGGAGTTGTGTCTCGGGAACCAATTTAAATTTAGAGTAAAATACCTCACTCATTAACATTAATAAATATAGTAACATAAAATAATTTTTAATTACTGTATTTTCGCAAAAAACATACAATTGTCAAGTAATAATACATGTTAGGAAAAAGCAGCAAAAAAAGTAGATTCATTAGGATTATTTTGTTCATGAGAATCATCTTAGTCACTTTCGGCATCTGAAGGTACATTGCAGCGAGTTAGATGTTCGCGAACAGCATCTTCACTCAATATAAAAGCAAAGCACATTCTACATACCCATAGCGGATTGTAACCGGTCGTTGTTTGACTATACTTTATCATGTATTTTGAGCAAATTATTTGTTCCTCACTTTTTTCTTCGTGATTCTCCATCTTTATTTTCTTATTAGATTTGTATAATTTTAATTCTTGTGGTACTGTAGATAAAAAACATAAATCCAATAAGTTTTGTAACAAAATACAAATATTGATTTTTATGTAGTATTCTGAGTATAACTAATTTCTTCTGAATATGAATTTTCAGAAAATAAAGGTTTTTAAATTGTATCCATACAAATGTACAAAATTAATTATGATAAAGA